AGATGAAAGGAATGTCATGAAATGAAATAAAAAAAGTCAAGCAAGAATGAGACGTAGTCCAATATAAGGATGGTGCATCTTGACCAAAGTGCATTGTACTTTGTAAGTTGTTTGATAGCAGATATTACATATAGTAAACACATTATAGATTATAGTTTTGAGTCCTTTTTTTACATAAGAACTCACCCTTTGGCCAAACAATATTGTACTTGCAGTCTCTCCTCGATGTCGTGGGGAGGGACCAATAGTCACAATTAATGAGGTTCTGGCAGTGCCTGCAATAAATAGAATCCACCTCACAATAATTCTGAAAAGCATCCAACTTGCTAGAAATAAAAAGAAAAAAAATTAAAAAATAAAAGATTTAGATCATAAACATCTAAAGTGAAGCCCAGGCACATGTCAACTTATATGAACATGAAAGATAACTCACCTCCAAAAGAATCTCTGAGCAGCCTTGTAAGTTTTGAATCACGAACAGGCACATGAGCACTATTCTCAGCTAAAGCATTGATGCACTTTCCCAAAGCACTCAGTGAAAGGTTAATAGACTTAGCTTCCTCCAACATGTGCCCCTCACTTCCTGCCAAAAGCAAAGCAAATCAATGTCACCATCTACCAAAGGGATCCCACTCATAAGTAAGGCCACCTGCAGCACTTGGGAAAGTCTACAGCTATATACAGGTCGGAATATGAAGTAAAAATTTTATCTGCCAAAGACATAAATACTAGCCAATGCAATGCCCAAAAAGCTTAGGTGGTGAAAAAAAGAAATGCTCTCTAAAATGCAGTATGCAGTCGACTTGCACTGGGGTGAAAAAGGCCATGGTATGCACCTGACTTGTGAACACGCTCTGAACCTGCCAAATCTACCAAAACCAGCTTGCTTTTCCGGACAAGAGGCTTTGTTGGTTTGAAAAGTGGAGAAGACTATGTCTGTTCACTGGAAATGGCATTCTTTGCTGTCCCAAAAGCTTGATTTTTAACATGTACCTGCACTAACATGGTTGAATGTATAATATTTCACTAAGGGATAATACAACAGCATAAACAACTACAGGTAGGATAATGAAAAATTGGTGAATGGAAACTGGGAAGGGGAAGGGGAAGGGCAGAAGTGAAAAACTAGTCACCATCAAAATAGCATGACTGCGAGAAGATTCAGTATTCAACTTTGTATTTGCAGCAATTCGATGAGCTTCTCCTAACCTCAATAGCTCCAAAAAACTCTGCTCATCCCTAATTTCTACATGAGTTGCCCTTGGTAATGAAACATCTCCAGTTTTGGGATCTTCCACAATGGAAATATTATCATTTGCTGGATCAATGAGATCCTGTATGGTCTCCATGTAAAGCTACAAGGACATATTGAAAATAAATTATTACAAATTCTTACCGAGACCATACAAGCCCAACAGAAATAGAAACAGAAAGTTTAATAAAAATGTCATCCAGCAGGTAATGGAACCAAAAAAAAGTTAAAATCCATTAAGCAGTGAATACAAAACAACACAATTACATGGACATGATGCCATCAAAGAAATTGCATTCAATTCATTGCACAATTGGGCATTAATAGAATAAAAATCATGAGTCTAACAACCTGCAAATAAGAAACAGAGACAGAATCTGTTTCAGGACAAACGTTAGCTAAAATCTCCTCCATCGAGCGGACCATTATTCCACGAGCAGACATATCTTCCTCACCTAATCGTCCAAGAGTAAAAGTTTTCCCAGTTCCAGTCTGGCCATAAGCCATAACAGTTCCATTATAACCATCCAGTACACTCTGCAGAAGCCAAAGTAACACCCGCACACAATCTCATAAGATTAAGTCATATCCATACAAGCACTTCTTGCTCGTTATGGCTAATGAAAAAAAATAATTCAGGGACAATATGATAAGCATTAAACACCATAAGTTAATGACATTATATTGTAAGATTAAGAAAACATTTGAAACAAACAAACCTCTACAACAGGCTTAGCAACAACTTCATAGACACGCTTTTGAGAAGCGAATTCGGTAAGCACTTCATCAAACTCATATGTTTCTGAATCCCAATTGTTCTTCCTAAGTTTAAGCCTCTTAAGCTATAGTAAAACAAAAAAAATTATAAAAAGATTAACGTAAAAACTAATAACCATCCAGATTCACGGTTGCCAAAATGAGATTGACAGCATTTAGTTTTTACCTCAGGTTGTAGTTCAACACAATCGGCAAAATCTGCGTCCGCGATCGACTCTTCTGCATTTCGCGGCCTTAATCTAACAGCTACTCGGACTCTTCCCGACACTGTAGAAAAATGGAGTATAATAAAACATGATTATTAATTTTTGAAAAAAAATGAGATACTAAACTCCGTCACCTCCTGCGGTGGTGGTGAAAGAGGCGGAGTTGGTCCGGCGAAGAGCAGATCCCGGAGAGTGATTCGACGAAGGAGGAAGTCTTGATTTGAATGAAGACGATTTGATATTCGATGAAGCGAGAGGCTTAATCGCTCCCTTGTTCACACCCGTACCATTTCTGTAAGCATTGGAAGCCATCACTTTCTTTTCTTTTTTTTTTAACTTGTGGAGTTTGGCTTGTTTTGAAGTTCAATGGTAACTGTGACCAATTTTTGGCGTGGATTCGGTGAATTCCAAGTTCAAAACAAAGTGATGATGAAGAGAGGGATGGACCCACTATGTTGCGGAAGAGTTGGGAAACAGACGGAGCCGGTCTCAGATTGATGGACCCATCTCTGCATTTTTCTTTTTTTTTTTCTCTTTTTCGGAAATTATCAAATTAATTGAAAACTCTTTTCTGTAACCGTCGTACAGTATCTTACCACCGACTTTGGTTGCGTTTGAAGTTCCTCGAAGCTAGGTTCGTCGTTTGGACATTTTGATTTTGCGTATTAGCTCAGACTTAAGATCACGAATAATTTTTAAATTATAGGAAAAATATTTTAATTTATTATTTAAATTTTAAATATAATATTTAAATTATAAATTTAGTAATTAATATAATATTTTAAAATTTATTTATTCGTTATATTTTATCATTTAATATTAATTAAATTATTATAAATAATTAAAATGTTTTAAAATTTGTATAGAATAACAAAATATTAAAAATATATAAATATAAATAATATAATAAATTTCATCACAAAATAAACAATTTTTATTTAAATTTAAAAAATAATAATTTTTAATTTAATATTAAAATTCTATAAAAATAACTTTTAAATGCAAAAAATAGTGTCAACAGCACTATACATCTAAGTACTATGAAAATCTGTCTTTCGGAGGTTGTTATGATTAGAAGAAAAAAAAAATTGAATAATGCCTTTCATCAATGGGAAGACGAGACGACAAGTTTGTAGTAACCACTAAAGATAATAGTGTGTTAACATTTTACCTAACAAGATGATATCCTTAAGAAAGCTCGTAAAGAAAAATGTTTTTAAGTTGGAAGATGGAGATTTCATGCTTGTAACAAAAGGAATGATGGGCTTATGATTAAGAACCTCAAATTTTTAAAAGAAAATTAGATGAGAAATTAACATGTGAATGTCAACAGTTATACGTGCTATTAATATAATATTAATTTTTTAATTTTAATAATCAAAAATTAAATTTAATAATTTTAAATATAAAAAATAATAATAACATGCGAATTAAGATTATGGAAATGTAACACTTAGCTGTATAGCATAATGAAAAAAATAATAATGCGATTGGATTATTATTATTTAAAAATTTTAATTTATTTGAACATAACACTATGTATTTAAATTCTTTCGAATTTACAAGCTTCAAATGTTAATTTTAATATCATATCAATTTATCAAAAATTTATTTGACTAATAAATATTAATTAAATTCATAACAAAAACAATTGACAAATCTTTTTTTTTTATAAATTGACTTCATCATTTAAAAAAAAAGGGCAAGACAAATAAGAATGAAACTTGGAGGGAAAACTCTTCATCGGCATTTTTTTTAAGTTTTTTTTTTTTTAACTAACCACTTATATTAAACAAATAATTTAAAATTTTGGTGATAAAAATTAATATTTAACATGGATAATAACGGATCAAGATAAATTTTTACTCGTAATAACTTTGAATTCATCGTCAAAATATCACTTTTTTTATATTTAATATAATCCAGTTCAACTCGACTTAACTTAATCAATGCATATAAAATTGAACCCGATTTAAAATTAATATAATAAATTTAATTTATTATAATATTAATAAAATATTATTTTTTAATATAAATTATATTTTAATTATATATAAATATATTATATTTATTAAATTGATATCTTAAATTAAAATATTAAATAATAAATTTATTAATATAATATATAAAATTTTAAATTTAAATAAATAATTAAAAAACTATATATATACCAAATTAGGTTAATTTACTTAAAATTCAACTTTAACCCAACTTGGTTATAAAAAAAAAAATCGATCCAATCTAAAATTTAATTTTAAAAAATTCTATAAAATCAAATTGGATAAAAATACATGATTTCGAATAAAATTGCCGTCATAATATTTAAGCTAGTATTTCATGTACCATTGGTGAAAATAACCCCTAGTATTTAATGTACGATGATTGAAATTCAAGGAAAATACTATATGCATGTCAAATGGATATATGTACAAGTGCTGTTTGGCACGTGACACTTATTCTTAAGGATGATGCAATTGCTATCGGTTTGTGGGGAAAACTTTATTATTTCAACTTCAATAATCAATACCACTTCCAAACAAAGGAACTATAAAAGGAGGCAAAGATTTCATAGAATTTTTTAAAATATCTTTTGGGGTACTTTTTGTTGAAATATGAACTTCCGTCTGCGGCATTTAGAGAAGCCCAGTAAATATCAGATTGGATGGGCTTCGCATCTATCAGGATGGGCTTTAATGGACCTATCTCTCATAAATTTGGGGTAATGTTTTTCTTGTTAAATTAAAAAAAAAAAAAAAAGAACAAGAGTGACGAGTCAAAGCTGTTGTGTAGTTTAATCTGTCATGTAGAAAGTAGACACTAAGCCGCCGCCTAATAAAAACCCTAGAAACCACATAAATTCAAGGGGCGTCCATTGCTTTCTCACCCCTTAACGTTTCACTCCGTCCGCAACCATCCTGCAACCTTTTCACTGGAATCTGACGTCATGGCTCAGAACTATCGCCGTCACATGAGCTCCGCCGTCTTTCTCATCTCTCTCCGACTGACCATCCCCACCACGATTATCACCACCATTACCATTCGCTGAAAAAAATCTTCATCCCACCAGATTCTCACGCATTTTCAACTTCAAAGTATATAGACTGTTACCGAAGCCAAATTCAAGCGTTATCTAGAATATTCTTGTTCGGGCCGGGTCGGGGCTATCCGCGATAGGACTACCGGTTCTGTTTAGGTGTTGGTTTGGTTGAAAGATGGCTATTTTGAAGAGCTATGGCGTGTGCTTGAGAGAGTATACGCCCCAGTTTCCTCGTCCCAATCACGGCGATAATTACAAGAGGTTTTTGACATTCTCTACATAAGATAAGATTTTTTTGTTGTTTATAATTGTATTAGTCATTAAATTAGTTAATTAATTTATTAATAAAATTTATTTGTTAGCCGATTTGGTATTAAGTGGAAACGATCATATATGTTCCCTTCTATGTCATCTTTCTATTTGCCTGTTTCTGTCTTTGTAAACCAGTTGATTTAGTACTTGTCCGGAAGATCTTGGTTTTTTTTTTTTTTGTCTTTGTTAAAGTTAGCTCGTGCTGGCTGGGTGTTAATGAGAAGCAAGGTTAATCTCAGCTGTAATTTATATCTGCATAATTGGCTCATCTTATTTGGTTGCTTTGTAGCAGTAGAAATGTAAAATGGAGATCCCCACGAGCAGCAGTAATACCTGATTTCCATCTCCCAATGCGTAGTTTTGAGGTTAAAAACAGGTAATTAATAACTTTATACTACCTGAATCTGATTGATGTTTTACTGGGTAGAATTTCTTGTTGGTTTGCGTATAGTTGCTTAATTTTGGTCATAAGGACTGCATATCTACCTATGTTCCTACTTGCATTAAAGTAGTCCCTGAAACGTCAATGTTGGTGATGTTGTCGTATCTCTTTGTTGCTTGTTCATATAGCTGCTAAAATGAATTTGCTTTGGATATGCTGAGACATTGTTATGTTATTCATACCTTTATCTGGAGGTGTACTTTATTACACTTTTATGGAGCGCTTGAAGGTAACATAAGTGATTTATGGGAAGATTAATATAACCGAACACTTTGACATGGGTGAATGCATCATGCATGGAGAATACCTTTGACATATTAGTTCCATGATGGTGGTGGTTTGGTATGCATTTTCACTGTGTGATAAAATTGTGGTGAATGTTAATTTCCTAATTGAGGGAGAGTTGGTTTATCTATAGCTGTAGATTGTTGTCGAGAGCAGCATCTTGTTGGAAATGAACCTTTCTTTTGAAAGAATTGCTGCTGTTGATGATTTTGCTTGCTTTCTGCTTTGCAGGACATCAGCAGAAGATATAAAATCTCTTCGATTGATAACAGCCATCAAAACCCCATACCTACCTGATGGAAGGTTTGATCTCGAAGCGTATGATGACTTAGTTAATATTCAAATTGGAAATGGTGTTGAAGGTGTAATTGTTGGTGGCACAACTGGTGAGGGCCAGCTGATGAGCTGGGATGAGCACATAATGCTTATTGGTCATACAGTCAACTGTTTTGGTGGATCAATTAAGGTAATTGGGAACACAGGAAGCAACTCAACCAGGGAAGCAATCCATGCCACCGAACAAGGTTTTGCGGTTGGAATGCATGCTGCTCTTCACATCAATCCTTACTATGGCAAAACATCTCTGGAGGGATTGGTTTCTCACTTTGATAGTGTGCTGCCAATGGGCCCTACCATAATCTATAATGTGCCATCACGAACTGGCCAAGATATTCCTCCACGTGTCATCAACACTATAGCACAGAGTCCTAACTTGGCTGGCATTAAAGAATGCGTTGGAAATGACCGCATTGAGCAGTATACAGGTAATGGAATTGTAGTGTGGAGTGGGAACGATGATCAGTGTCATGATGCTAGGTGGAGCCATGGGGCTACCGGGGTAATTTCTGTTACAAGCAACCTGATTCCAGGCTTGATGCGAGAGCTTATGTTTGGAGGGAAAAATCCTTCACTTAACGCAAAGCTCTTACCTCTGATTGAGTGGCTCTTTCAGGAGCCTAACCCCATTGGCCTTAACACAGCCCTTGCACAACTGGGGGTTGTGAGACCAATTTTCAGGTTACCATACGTACCTCTTCCCCTGGCAAAGAGGGTAGAATTTGTCAATCTGGTCAAGGAAATTGGGCGGGAGAATTTTGTAGGAGAAGAAGATGTTCAGGTTCTAGATAATGATGACTTCATATTGGTTGGCAGGTATTAGTCCTTTGTGAATGTTAAGTACTCTAGTTTGGTGTCTCTATTTGGAGTTTGCAATTTTACATTCGTTTATAAAATTACAAATAAAGTCTACCTGGTTGTTTAAATTATGACAGAAAATAGTAGTGCTAATATATATGCTACTAATATGATGCCACCGGGTATCGGACTATTGTCTATTTGGACTGGTTTGCCTTGTACCTCTGTGCATTGCCATTGATCGGAAGAATCAATTATGCCTTCTCGTGGCTATAGCAAGAAATTGTGTTCATATGACATTGCTGTGATTATCAGGTGTATATCACTTATTTTTTTTTATTATAATCCTATAATTATTCAATTATAATAAAAAATTATGTAAAGATTTATTATTTATAAATATGATTTTTGCATAAACTTTTGATAGATTTTACAATTCTGAATTGTCATTAATTAATTGTATTACAATTATTACAGGGGAAATGCTTTTATAATTATCTAGTCGTTTTGGTCTTAAAACAATCTGAAATGCGAGCAACATTTTATTGATTGTAACTTAGAGATAAGGATTATGGCCGATTTTCTATCAAATGTGGTGCAATCCACCCTACGGACAAGAAATTTCAACCGTGTGAATTCTTTGATTTCTATTGAAAGGTATTTCTTTCGGTTTAATCGTGTCTTTTGGGTCTTGATGGTCAACTTAAAGCCCAGATTCATGAATTTTCGATGTCCGGCCCCCATCATATATGTTGACCCAAGGCTTCATGTCGTGGGCTTGGGACTTATTCATATTTAAGTATCAAATGCTACACATAGAAGTGATTCATATATAAGTATCAAATGCTACACATATGTAAGTATCATAGGTGTTTGGCCCTGCCCTTACACTAAAGTTAATGACAACCCAAAGAGCTGCCTTAATAAGAGGGCAAGAAATAAGGAGAAATTGACACTAAATATATATATTTATGAGAAGAGATCAACTTGTATCAATATAAAAATTTTATATTTTTTTAATAATTGATTTCAATAAATCCGAAATGACAAAAATAAATGAAAAAATTTTTTAATTTTATCCTTGAATCTATTAAAATTAAAAATTAAAAAAAATATAATTTTTTTTTGTTTAAGTTGATCTTTCCTTGTGTATATAGATTAGATCAGTATGAAATGGATAGCTGCCCGTTTATAAAAAGTTATCTGCCATTAAAAAAACAACATGCAGCTGCTAAACTCTAAATTAAACTTCAATGTCATATCCCCATTCTGAATACAGTTAAGACACAAATAAAACTCCAAAATTATTCCCAAAACGAAGCTATAAATAACAAACTGAATTTAGACAAAAAAAAAAAGTGAAATGAACGAGATTTGAGACATCAAACACTTCCCCCCTTAAGTAACAAGTATTCCATCATTATTTCTACCTAAATTCTCCCCATCAGGCATAGTGTTATACTATGGTAGTATTTAGACATGCGAGCTAGTGGGTTATTTCTTGCTTTTTAAAAGTGATTTTGGGGATTAGACAACTTCTTTTGTAGCTGAGCCAACAGGGTTTGGTTCTCCTGGTGGAGGAGAAGAGCTTTCTTCCTCAGCTTCTCGTTCTCTTCTATGATGCTTTGATTCTCCATGTACAGTTTCAAGTTCTTCATTTGCATATCTGTTTTATTAATGCAGACTATCATCATCTTTGTTCCCGCTCCCTTCCTTGACCTTCTCCACCTGTTACATCTTTTAAGTAGTAACACTCTTGTTAGAGATCAGAGACAGAGAGAGGAAACAAAGTAAAAGACAAAGAAATATGAAGAAATCTTATAAGTCTTACCTGTTGAGTCTTCGAACACGAATATTATGTCGCTTGGAAGGACGTTTTCGGCAGAAGGAATTACTTGGAATCGAAACTGAAGAGTTAATGGACATGATGTTTAAGACTGAGAGGAAAAACAAAGGGTTTGTTTTTCATAGGGAAAAACCTAAGATAAAAGGGAGGATTGGAAGAGATTATTGGTTATCTTGTGTGATCCAACTAGGGAAAGAAAACAAGTGTTATATAGCTGGGATATTATGTTCTTATCTGAAAATGAGAAAGAGAAAGAGAGAGAGAGAGAGAAAGAGGCTTTTCATAGTAATGATGGCAAAAGGACTCATGATTACGAAGGGGCAGCAATAGATGGAAGAATGCAGTGAGAAGAAGGAAGAAGAAAAGGGCTTCTCTCTTCTCTTTTCCGTGGCCTTTTTTTTATTACAAGTACTACTTTTATTTTTTACTGTTGAGTGTCAAAAGACTTAAGCCAAGAGGGTTGGCTGGTTTAGGCACACAGAAAAGGACTATTCCCTCTCTCCATTGTTCATTCACTTTTTGAATTTAGAACTTGACAAGCTCTCCTTGTTTTGATGACTTGATCCAGGGTTCATATTAATAACAGCATGAACCAATACTTAATCAGTCGTATCTGGCTGTCAAACTGTTAATCCTAAACCCTTACCTCACAGTTATTATCGGACCATTTGATTTTCTTGATTGATCTTTCATATAAAAATGAAAAAAAAAAAAAGTTATGTAAAGTGAGATTTGAATAAAGAAACTTTGATTAGTCCCTCTCCTTCCCTTAGGTTCACCTCACAAAAGTAAAGACTACCTTTAATAGGGAGGTGGGCACTTTCTCGTAGCCATTGGGTTGGATTTGAATAACTTTGGAGAATTAATCTGATTTTTCTCTTTCATATGAATAGAGGATTTATTTGACAAGTAGTAGCACCAGCAAAGAGTCAAATGACAAGGGCTAAGGTCTTCCAAATCATAATAACTAAGGGGGGCCAATTCCAAAAAATACTAATGAATCCCTTGAGCAAAACAAGCTGCTGGATAACTTAAATTTTACATTTTTAACAAGTTTGTTAGAAATGCTTATTGACTGACCAGCAGCAGCTAAGCCTAGGCATAACTTCACTGGAGAAATAGAAATCATATGGTCAAAAAAACTTTAAGGTTTGGACTTTAGACACATAAGTTTGGTGAAAAGCAGGCAAAACCTAACTCTGTCTTTTCTTTATTTCTTCTAAATTGGTTTTTAATTTGCCTTTTCACAAGAAACCCTTTACGTATTGGACTCGCCAATGTTCAAACAAATGTAAATCCAAAACAAATGCACTTGCTTTTATCCTTATTATTATGCTTAATCATTTGTATTAATGTGAAAACATTTGATAAATTAAATTAGATTAGTTAGTAACTCTAAATTAACTTTTAATTTTTTTTAATCAGAATGAAAGGGGAGGCACATGGAAATTCAAGCGTGAAGGGCCAGAAAGAGTGGGGGCTATGAGAAGAATCCAAAAGAAAATGAGTGCGGATAATTGGAACGGAACAGAGAAAAGGGCTGAGGGCAGAGGGAATGGGCGTGAGAGGGAGAGGGAAGGGAGTAGTCAATGTGGTTAGGTTTTTCTTTTGTCCCTTTTCTTTCATGTAATTGAGTACCAAAACCATGCTCATTTCTTTGGAAAATGAACCCCCATTTTGGACTCATCCCCCTATTTCCTCTTCTTCGTCATCATAGATAAATGGGTGATGATTCATTTGGTAGAAATCCAATTTATTTTTTATTCAATAAATAAATTTAATCATGAATTTGAATAATTCAATTTTTACTTTAATTCAAATATAAATATTAAAATTTATATTAAATTTTAAATCGAATTCAAAATTCAAATTCAATTTTCTCCTCAACTCTACTCTATTATCTCTTAATTTTGCCTCACCAACTTCACTCACGTGAACCTTCTCCAATTGGACACGTTGGGCTTTGTCAGCTCACAATTCGGTTGGCTCCATCCTTCACAATCCGCGAGTCTTCCTATATTTGTATTATTAATAATTTTAATAAAATAATTATCGACTATCTTTAAATCAGTAGTTGATGTATTATTAAAATTAATATTTAAAAATTATGAGTTCAAAAAAATTTATGTGCATAATATCTTTTTAATTAAATAAATTTAGTAAATAATAAGGTACGAAAGATTTTAAGGATAAATTAAGAATTTCAAAAAAAAAATAATGATTGAGTTTGACTTAAATAAATCAAGTTACATCAATTTGGCTGGTGAATTGACAAACAAAATTCGAATTAAACTATAATAAATATATAATATAAAGGGCAAAAATATCATTTAGTATGAAATTTAAATATTTTTTATTAATTTTATTTTTTAAATTATTTGCACATTCAATTAAAAAAACTAACCAATTCTTTTATAATTAGATAACTTCTTTTACTTATTTTTCTCATATGTTTCCTTTTCACTCGCATGGTGACATTGTTAAAATCTAATAGAAATATAATTAATTTCATTTTATACTAACAAATTGGTAGACTAAATTTGATGTCCCTAAATCAAGTGGTACAAATTCAGTTGACAAAGTACACAAAACCCTAATTATGTCATTATAAATGTATAAAGCAAATGATATAAGTATCATTTAATGTTAAATTTAAATATTTTTTAATTAATTTTGTTTTGAATATTTCATGCATTCAATTGAAGAATTACCCAATACTTTTATGACTAACATAACTTCTTTTTTTCATCTACTTTTTCTTATATTTTTTCTTTCATTCACATAGTGAAAGTATCAAAATTTAGTTCTAAATTAAACAAAAAAAAAAGTTTCCTGAAGCAAGGATCGAATAAAAAATTCGGGGGGTAATGCCAATAGTTTAATGAAATATCAAAAGAAAAAAAAATCATGCTTTTTAAATAGGTGTTTTTAAGAAGTGTAACAAATAAAAAAAAAAAAAAAAGAGATGCTTGTTTTCTTAATACATATCTAAATGAAACGAGGATTGGCAAAGCCAAATAGAACCCTCATCATGTTGTTTTGAATATAGATGGTTTGAAGAAATGGATGAGGACCAAGACCACTACCCTTCACTCATTTCCTGTATTACTACAACAAACTACTCAAATACTAATAGTGGAATTATATGAAGTAGTCAACAATGAAATGAAGCTGCCCTTTCCAAGTTTCAAAAACGATCTAATTGCCCTATTTTTGGATCCTTTCATTTTTTTAGATAGCTTTGGATTGGGAATATAAGAGTGAATGTATGTTCATAGAAGTGCGTTCGAAGAAGCTACACTGTTGGACCAATTGAAAAATGGGAGGCAAAGTGAGAAGAAATAATTATAAGGTGAGAAAAATAAAATGAGTTATGAGAGCAATTGTCCCTAAGATCCCCCCTCCCCCTTTTTATCATCATGACATTGGCACCTAAAAATATGCAATTATAGCAAGTATGAATATGCACATTGTTGAATCAATCTATAGAAGGTAAACTTTTACAAGGGCTTACGGTTGTGGTTGAGTTGAACATGATAGTGTTTGGAACCAATTTTATGTCGGTTGTCAACCAATTCAAAAGTTTTAAATCAAATTGAAACTTGAATAAAAAAAAAAATGTGTGTTTTTTCTATCATGCAATTATAATAGGTCCAAATTCTTTTCAAACAAAATCAGAAAATCAAAATCTTACTCTAAAAATGATACATGACAGATTATAATGTGGTACTCACCCCTAATGAGACTAACTTCAAATGATGATACATGACAGATAAACAACCCTTTAAATATCACTTAATTCATAAATTCGTAGTTCAAGTATCTTATTAGAGATTTTTAAAGTTCAAATACCATATTAAATATTTCATTATAATTTAAGTATTATTCATGACATTAACCCATATTTTTATCAACATTATGAGATTTATGGATTTGAACATACACATCTAAATAAGCAGATTTAAAAGTGTAATAACACCAATGTTCAGGTAATAAAACCTGTTGATTTTTTGGTTATTGTTTAGAAAATTGAAGATAGTCATGGCATTTATTCCCAGTGAAGTTTATATCAATTTTATGGAAAATTTAATAGAAAACAAGGTGGTAATAACAATAAAATGAAAAGTCTGAACGAAAAAGGCATGAACTTTTAGTAGATATACCTGCTTTTCTTTTTGCACATGCACTTCTGCTGAGGGAACAGACCTAAGAACTTCTCGATATACAAATGCAAGTTCTGTAACCAAGAAGGTAGTTACTTACTTTCTAAGGCATTAAAAGCCTCAAACCTCATTTGAAATGAAAGAAACAAAGAATAATTGCATGCTTGTAATCTGAAATAAATGAATGATAGGTATTAGTATTACGATGTTGTGGTGGAGAAGATAATGAAATGACGTCTCCATGTTGAATTTTCAATTCAGGACTATTCTTTCTCAACCTCTCCCAAATAAAACACGTCCCATTTGTGCTACAAAGGTGCATAACACAATCAGAATTCAGAAATATTGAAAACCCAACAAAAGAAATCATAAACAGCACACTTATCTCATATCTTTCAAGAAAACAGATGCATAACAGTTGGAAGACTGTCGCGTATCTTCATTAGTGACTCTGTTCCTATATATTTTGCAATGTTTCGTGCTAATTGAATTTGATTCAATTTGAATACTCTTATCATCTACTAATCGGCCAATGCAGTGCTCATTCGCAGTCAAAAGCATACTCATGCCCTAGAAAAATGATTTTCTCATCAGTCTTTCACTTACAATGTAGATTACAATTATCACTCTGATCTTTTCTTTCTTTTTTTTTTTCCCTTCAAGCAATTGTAACAAATTTTCGTTTCGGTTTAATCGGTTAGACGCTTCAAGCCCAAAAAGAATTCCAAACGATAAAATAAAAGTAGAAAATTTACCGAAATATGAAAATTTGACAACCAAAGTAAAATTAATAGTAAAAGAGAGAGAGAAAAAGGATTTAGGGTTTAAAAGAGGGAAACCTAATGGCATTTGCGGGCATTGTTAGAGATGGCGTTGAGAACGCCCCAAACGTTGGGATAGTAAGTCGGGAGAGGCTGAGAGGAGATGTAGCCGGTGACTGAGACTATGAACTCTTAGGGACTCAACGGCACATGAGAAGGCGGAGAGGTGGCGGTTTGCTTGGGCAGTGACGACCTCGATTGGGACACATTGACTTTTGGTCTTGGACCGGGCTCTAAAGATACCAGGGTCTCGGGTTTTTCTTCTTCGTTTGGGGCCATTGATTATGGTGGAGTGTGACTGTTAATGACTGAGCGAAGTTGATAGAAAAAAAAATGGCGGGCATTTTGAAGCCCTATCGCCTTCGCTCAACGTCCCGTTAGAGAGTAGCCTGTCTCGCAAGGCTTGCCTTTTCTTCTGTTGGGAGTCTCCTGGTCGTTCGATTATTCAGGCCATCAGGGGAAAGTGATTTTTTCGCCATATCAGCGAATCAGGACCCACCAATATAGACTCAACCATCATCCTATCATCAGTGTCATTACCTCTTCGCTATTAATTAATCGAATATGACAATCACATGGAGATCCACCAATGTGTAAATTACCTTTAACATAGTCTAGGGGTTAAAATTAACTGAGAAAAATTCGTGTGCGTAAATTACCATAAGTCCACAGCCACAGATCCTCGACATCCTCAAATGACATTGTTTTGAGCAATGTTAGCTGAAGCATAAAATTGTTACAAATTCAAGTTAACAGTTGTGCGGGTGAGAGTACCAATTGCAAACCGTTTTTCTCTATCTCAAAAATTTTCCCTGTTAGTAGTCAATATTCTTAACCCGTACAAAGTTTACAACTCATGAGTTGAATCCTAAAATCATCCATTTTCTTGACACATTGGAACTTTACTCCACTTCAACTCAACACAATTGCAGAGGTAAGACTAACCAGCGAGTGGATTAGCATGTATTGTAACACGATTGAGCCTTATTTCTGCAAGAGGTCGATCGCCTGGTCCTGTTTGAGTCTGCATCAACAAAATGCCTTTCAATAATGTTATACATGGAAAACTGCTGAATAAACAAGCAATTGCAGTTGCAATTGATTTTCCGCAAACACATAAAAGTCTGTACAATTTGAACTATTTTCTGTGAGACCGAAAGTGAAAGAGAAGAAATCGGATTCTAAAAAGCTATTCACTTCAGAGTCATGTTGAACGTCTTTCTTTGTGGTATCTCAGCACTTTTAAAGTAGCTAGATTTTCCCTACTCTTTGAGGTCTCCAAATCCTATTTGTATAGATAAGGTAATTCAGCATGAGCTAAATACAATTGCATACGAAGGGATATAATAGGCCAAAAATAAGACCAAGGTTAATTACACTGACTAGCTTTGAAATAATAACACAAAAAGCCATGTGGACAAAGAAAAAGAGTTTGCATGAAAAAACTAAGTCCTAACATGAGCAATTGGTTAGAAGGCCACAAAAATTGTTCCCAAGACATTCTAAATCAAAGAGAACTACGCAGGGAATATGATTGTATGCTAGCACAACATACCTTTTCCATGAGATCCAGGACTTCAAAACCATGGATCACCTTGCCAAACACAGTGTATAATCCATTGAGATGTGGCTGCTTTGCGTAAGATATGAAAAACTGGCTCCCATTAGTATTAGGACCACTATTAGCCATTGACAATATACCCCTCGCATTATGCTGTGATAAGACAGTTTTGCCACAATTAGAATGTCCACATGTATGTCCTAACACACAGCAGGTTAAAAACCAATGAGCTACTCAATGTATTGCATGTGGTTAAAGATTATATCTTGTAACAGAACATTGAGACTAAGGTTTTAGCTGCATTTGAAAAAGGGCAGAAATTTAAAGAGTTTGAAAAGCATAACCATATCAAAACACTTGGAGCAGCTAGACCAAGATCTGTTGTTATACTGATTTCAAGATAAAGCTAGAGAAAGGGTGGTAGGGTAATAGAAACCAAAATTTTAGACCCAAATAGCGTGGCAGCTAAACAAACTACACAATAAATAACGCACAACCCAGCTCAGTTAGGCTCCATTCAATACATTAAAACTTGGACATCAAGCATAATGGAAGAGCATAAGCTTTCCAAAAGAAAGTTAACCAATCTTCTTAATCAGCAGGTCAACATGCATAGAAGCAAACATGAAACAAGAGTTTTATTCTCCTCCCCCACCCACTCCCCCTTACTCTCAATGGGTAAAAGTTGGCGACTAAATTCTCTCGAAACACCTTGAGAGATTGCAAGAGCTAAAGTTCATGAAGTAAAACTTTATTGTTGCATTAGCCATTATCATAACATACCTTGAGGGATTCTCTAATCTCATCATTGAACTTCTTGCCCCATATGCTAGTTCCCCCTTTACCTGTTCCTGTTGGGTCTCCGCCTTGGATCATAAAACCTTTAATATTCCTGTGAAATATAGTCCCATCATAATAACCACTTGCACAGAGCGCCAAAAAGTTCTGCATCCAAATGAAAGATTAGTACTATTTACACGGGCAATAGAAAGAAATAAGTGCATATGGCATGAAATTTCTCCATTATAATGAAATTAAACAAAACTTCATTTTACAAAAATAAAAAAAGCTTATAGATTGAAAGCTATACCTATAATTATACAGAACTAACTCACTAATGTAGTAAAAGGAGAAAAATTCCCTTCAATAATAACAGCAAAAACAACATAATCATAATCTCCAAAATCTGCATAGAATTTGTCTCGAATTTCCTAACTTTAGGGCTAAAGAAGTTAATCTGCAAACTTGGTTTTCGGGCAACGATTGGTAACAAAATAAATTCCCTTAAACGAAATTCTAGTCATAATCTATATTTTATCATCTTCTAACTTTCTTTATGAACAGCTTGCAACAGCAGAAGCTTCAGTTTTTTGTCCGGATAAATAAAATTAATCTACTCAACTAGGAAAAAAAAAAAAGGAAAATTTTGAAGGAGATGAGGGTCCTAACCTCTGCCGTTTTAGCAACCTCGTCGCAGAAGATCTCACACTTGATGTCACCAAGATTTGTATGCAAAGTAACTGACTGCAATAGCAAGACAAGCATCGATTAACTGTTAGTACCGTTTTGTCTATGTTCGATAAAATTACGCAAACAAAACTCACCATATTGTTTGATTATGAAGAGGCCCAGAAGTCAGAATCTCAAAATCGAAAGTAGATGAGTTTCTTGGGATGAGCAAGTGTCCGGTTTCTGGTGATTGTAGGACACACAACTTTCTTCTTCAGACTTCAAGTCGCGGCCTAGTGGAGGTTCCGGGGGCGTGGGCTTACAGGCTTGAGAATTACTCTTTGGATTTTTCTGGACTGCGGTCCCGACACTGCCTTATATAGGGTTGAGTAATGTCGCTTCTACCATCTGCGCATCTAGTGGGCACTGGTTAGTTAGGCTGGACCCCATGTTGGACTCAGATGCTACGGGCCTTCGACCAATTAGTGTTTTCTTTAAAAGGAAAAAAATTATTTTACCAATTATAATACGAAATTTCATTGGTATTATATACGAGTATTATTCATCATAACCGCAAAAAATTATACTTAATGTTATAAATTTTTATGTAGCAAAATTAAATTGAAGAAAAAAAAATAAATTAGACCTTTAACTTTAACCCACGATATGATTGAACCAAATTAGGTTGTTACTATCATTTTTTTAATTCATTTGTTATTATATTATATCTAGGTGTAGAAAAATTAATGGATTTTTTGTTCTATCTTTTCTTGTTTAATCATAAAAAAACCTTGGAAGTATCTATTAATAGTATGAACCCTCCTATATATGGTTAGTTTTTGAAATTTTATAACCATCATGCCTAAATCATAAGGGAAAAATTTAATGCTATACTTGAAATATGCTAAGATTTCATTGTGGATTTATCGCCTTAATTTGATAAATGAAGAGTATTTCAGGAATAATAATGTAATAAATTAAAAAAATCAATGAGGAAAAATAATGTTTTAAGCAACATACAAATCTTTATTTGATAAATTAGTAACAACTTTACGTAATCGGTCAATTTAATCGATTTAATTTGAGAAAATTTATAATTTACTTAACCGACTTTCATTCAATAAATAGTTGAATCGATAGAATATTTTTAAATAATTGACTATAATTGAACCAACCAAAATCGATTCGGAGTCAATTTGGTTAAACAATTGATTTTTTTATAATTTTTTTTTATTACGAATAATTATTTAACTATAAATTCAATTTAATAAAACTCAAATTCAAATATCATTCAAACTAAACGACTAAAAAATTTAATAATTTCAATAATATTTTACCATAAAAAAATAAATAAAAATATTTCTCTTAATTTTTTTATTTTTACTTATTAAAAAATCAATTAATTCAATTATTAAAAAATTAATTAATTCGATCAGTTTAATTATCAATTTTAAAACTAAAAAATCAATCAAATTAACTAATTTAATTGATTTAAAAATTTGATTATAATTAAAATCAAATAAATCAAATCGATTCAACTGAATTCATCAATTTTAATCGATTTAATTATTTCAAACAGACTTTTACTTACTCCTAACTTCACATAAATCTACTAATCCATTTTTAACAACATTTTATACTTGAGCTAACACTTGTTCCAACACCTGTTTCATGTCTCTTTTTCATCCCTGTACAACTAGGCATTGATATTGATATGAACATGTGAGTTAGATTCATTTACTTTTTGTTTAAAACTAAAGTCTTTTGAACCCAAAATCATTCATTTACTTTCCGTTGATAAATTTTCCCTAACAAGGTTTGGCTAACGTTATATTTGGCAGCCAGTTTCAAGTTTCAACTCACCACAAAAAAAACTTGACAGATTCCAGAGAATTCATGGCCGAATATCTCGCACAAAACCGTTTTTTGCATTATGTGTTCCTTACAAGTGCCGAACACAAAGCCTCTCTTCCCCAGTGTAATTTCTTCATAATTCTTGGTTTCCTTTCATATACAGGAAATTAGTAACGGAACAGATGGTACAATATTATTTATGAATCAAAAGTGTTGGTACAATATTATTTATGAATATAAAACAACTACGCTGGTCAGGAAGCTAGACGTTCAATGGAAACTAATGACGTAGACGTGGAGTATGTGAGACTAATAGAAGAAGATTCTTCCGGTGCTGGATTTGGGTTGCGCTTGCAGGAAGAAACCGTACCTCAAAGCCCTAGCAATGGCAAATCGTGGACATGGTTGCTGAAGTTGATTGTAATTTGCATATCTTTGGCAATTTTGGCAACACTTGCAATCAAATGGATTGGACCATTGGCATTGAGAAAGATAGGTAACTAATCTAACATTTCTTACATTGTCTTAATTCACATTTCTTGTTCATGTTAGTATGCACACACAAATATGAATTGGCATATATGATTTCTTTTGTTCTACCATAGGTTGTTGTCCCTGCTATAAAATGGGAAGAACAGGCGTTCAACAGTTTCGAGCAAGTAATTGTAATCTTTGCTTCGTTAGCGCTATTCCCAGTCGTATGTTTGCCATCCACACCTTCAATCTGGGTGGCTGGAATGACTTTCGGCTATGGTAAGGAATTTCTACTGGTTGTGGCGGGGGTATCTGTTGGTGTATCGTTACCTTATTTCGCTGGTTCAATCTTTCATGGCAAAATCCAAGTGAGCTTTAACCATGGTTTCGATTTCCTCATCTTTCTTAATTTAAATAACCGCAGATTTTTTATACTTTGTTTCTACATTTTTTAGGGGTTGTCAGAGAAATATCCACAGCATGCTTCTATATTGAGACTAGCCGGGGAAGGAAAATGGATTCATCAATTTCAAGCTGTTACCTCGATTAGAATCTCTCCGTTACCCTATATTATACTTAATCATGCCGTCGTGGCTACCAATGTCGATTACAGTCCTTACTTGTTCGGGACATTAGTGGGGATGGTGCCTGAAGTTTTTGTTGCGCTGTACAGGTTAGATCATCATCAGTTCCATGTCCGTAAAACTGGTACTACGAAATTTATTTGAGTGTAAAACAGCCCTGTAAGTAGAACCTAATTCTGTCTTGCGGTAGATTTTGATACGCTCATTTGAGGAGGCAACACAAGATAAGAGAACTCCTACGAGGGAGTTGTTAGTTTTCAACGTTGTAGGGTTTTGTGCATCTATGATAGCTATTTTATCGGCATTCACACAAAGAGGAGACGTGATCGGCAAATTCAGGTCAGAGCATCATATCATAAAGTCCCATTCCTTGTGAGACAATCTTCTACCAAGGCTCTTCATTTTTCTGAAGGATGACATATTTCATTGGTCTTAGACCTTGTGGAGAAGCCGAAGTCGGAAGAATGAACGGCAATGGAAATACGTTTGATAGGGATTAAAGATCTCTTCTATGCAAGTAAATGAAGTTCAAAAGGATTTATTGAAGACAACCAACGGCACTCTTTCGATCCCTTATCTTAAGATGGAAAGCAAGGAGATCAAAAGCCAATCCTAGCTCAATTGCTTTGACAAACAAATACAACATCTCAACTGTTTCGATCCTTAATCTTAAGGTGGAAAGAAAATAATGTACATGTATTATTTGTCCTCCATTTGTGAATGAGCATGGAAAATATGAAGCATAATAATCAGAAAATGGAATCAAGTTTCAGCTATGCCTTAGTTGAAATAGAAAATTTAAATCATTATAACTTCAACCACTGAAGTTATCCATCTTCAAGAATTTCTCTGTGAACATGCATGCATGAAGTGCTGCAATACTTGTAATTATACCTGTGAAAGGGAACTTTTCCAGCCAATGATGTATTACAACAGGAGCAACTAATATCACCTGCTAATCCACTTTTGGATTGTGCAGTGGTTGATCCTACGTTTCTGCTACTGCCTTGAGCGTCACGGGCAGCTGCTGCTGCTGCTGCTTCAGCAATCCTCCTCTCAGCAGCAGCTGCTCTCTTTTCCCTCTCAACAATCTGTGCTCTCTTCAGTTCCTCCTGGTTGAGTATAAATGAAGGGGAAAAAATAAGAATAGTTCAAACATTTGCATTATTTGAGAAGGTGATTTACGGTGTAAGAATAATTGAAAAGAAGAGCAATCTGAAAGGTCAGAAGAGAGAATAAGTAGCAAATTCAACAATTCCACTATCATGCAATATTATATGATTAACCAAAATTTTAACCCCACCTCTTTAGAGATCTGAGATCCACCAACGGGTTGAGATTGTCCCTTTGAATCTGAAGGTCTGGCCTGGTTATGTGAAACTGCTGAAGTATTCTGAGACTGGGAAGCCTCAGCCTACACATTGACATGGAAAAAATGTTGAAAACAGAGAGTGATTAAAAAAAAATGGAACTAAGAGATGCCAGTAAACAAAAAATAAAAAGCATGTTAAAAAAAAAAAAGATAAATAACCTAAAATTAATGATGCAAAATCTCTCATAAGATGCAATGAAAAACAGACTTGTTTCCTGTATATTATTACAAATCTTGCTCAAAAGCATCAACAAATTTAATTCACTGAAGCCTTAGAACATAACTACACAAAATAATGAATTGTAAGTACCACTTCCCCTTTCATTCCCCTATACGGACACATACATACAGATATGTAGAAATGCACCTTCATTTACACACATACAAAAATTTTAAAATATTTTCGGACCAATATGCAACTCAAAGGGCACATGAAGGGGCAAATCTAATGAACCCATGTTTTATTTTTCTCAACGATTGATGCAAGATAAGAGCCTTTTTTCTTGTTTCAATCGTATATTCTTTCCAATTTTGGGGGTGGGGGATTGTGAGGCAGCAGGTTGAAACATAATTTCTTCAATATCTGAATTGATTAACGGGGAATATTTACCTGAGCTTTCTTTTCCCTGGCTCTACGCAATTTCTTTAGTTCCTTTGCTCTAGCTTTCTTCTTAGCATCTTTCTCTGCCTGAGCAACCATATATGGAGACATTCATTAGAACTCAGATGGCGATATGGAACACACAGATATCAGCAAATAAAGAACCTAAGACGTCCAAGGACAGCAACAACAAAAGGTATTAAATAATGAGATGTTCACCACTTCAGAATAAAAATAGTTATGAAAGAGTAAATCCTAAGAAAATCAGATAAAAATTTCCCAAAAATCTTTCTTTGATGGACCGTATGGGTGAAAGAGAGAGAAAACAGGTAGCACAATTTGACGATCCTAAGCATTATCTGGCAGCATAAAACACATAAATCAAAGGAAATGTGCTTCTATGGACTTGGAAAATTTCATGATTGAGAGTTACCTAAAGATGTTTATCTCCCGAATGATAGTTATGTAAGGATTTTTATTTGTAGGAAGAACTATTTGTAGTGTTCTATAATACATAATCAGACGTTAAGCAAATCGATGTGTCAATAAGAAAATTCTTGATGAATGCTCTGACACTGGTATCCTATTAGAACGGATACAAGATTCAAGGAAAAATAAAAATACCTGCTTGGCCGCTTGAGATTCCTCCATTTCTTTGGTTAACGCACTAGGTACTTTAGCAGATTTCCAATCCCACTTATCAGGGTTTATGGCCATGTATCGTCTAAAAATATTCCTGATTTCCTTCTCATTGGCCAGCATATATGGGGTTCGCCCTCTTTCATCCTTAATAGAGGGATCTAAACCCAGCTCTAGGAGTTCCAGAACTTTTTGAGCATCTCCGGATAGTACTGCTTCATGCAAAGGTGTTGAAATACAAATAGCTTCACTATCACTCTCACTTGATATAACATCAGATTTTACATTGATGGAATGAATTTTAGAAGCATCCCTACAATTCAAGTTGTGCTCTAATTCCTCTTTGTATAAATCTTGTTTGCCATTATCAATGGTGCTACCACTTAATAATAAACCTTCTTTGGTGCCACGTGGAATTTCCTTTTCCTCCACTTCATAAGCAACTTGTGTAAGCTGGTTATATATTCTCTTGGCTTCCTTTAAGGTGGGCCTCCGAACAGTCAATGGAACATTTCGAATAGCACAGAACTGGTGACTGAAATAAGGTTTATCCCCATTAAAGAGCACATTACGATTGCTTGAAGGAGCGTGAAAGAAAACACAGGGGGAAGCATCAAAATAAGACTTCCAAGAAGCAAGCAACTCTTGAATTTCCTAAATATTTATAATACAAGAATCAGTCAACCTTGGAAAATAAGAAACCATAAAACTAACAGAAACAAAACAACGTTATTGAATTAAACCACTTGGGTGCTTAAAACATCCTTAGAGCAATGTCTGGTGACCTTCTACATGGGCACAACTGGAGATCAGGATGGTAAAAGAACATTAAGGATCTAATAACAAAAACAATATGTCAATACCTTCTTCAATGCAAGTTCATTATGCCGCCGGAGTGCAGCTCCAGCAGAATGTGCAGCCTTCCCAGTTGCATCTTTCGATGACTGTTTCTTACCAGCCTTGGCCCTTACCACATATCTACATGATAATGAAAGGGATTAACGCATTAGCACTTCATTCCATTAAGAAACAAGACGCTTACTTTTCTTTCTATGACTAACATTCTAACAACAACAACAGCAACAGCACTTAGGACTCCAGATAAAAATATGATAAAGACCTGTGGAATGTTTTGTGAGCCACCACCGATTTACCATCAAAGACACAGCCAGCAAAGTGGCCACCACTAGAAAGCAGCACAATCCTGAAACGTCCATCACCCCTAGTCTCTTGAATCAAAGTTTTCAATCTCTCAATCACCTCATTTTCTGTCAAGCACCCACCATTATCATTCCACACTTCTTTATCATTCTCATATGAAACACTTTCCGACTCGTTCAATATTAAAGATTTCCAAATTGAAATTCTCTCTCCCGTTTGAAGACGGATAAACAACTTCTGCCTAATATTTTCAATCGGTCCCGTCTGCGCATCGTTGCGGGGATAAGCTCCCTTAACAGCTTCATCCTCAGATCCTGAAATACTCGAAACCTCATAGTCTTTGAAAGAATCCGTAGTCAACTCATCGAAATCTTCTTCCTTTACAATATCCTTACCAGCAATGCTTAATTTTACCTATAATCAAACAAAAGCGAAATATTGAATGCTCTCTATTGGGAAATATGTGAACAAAAAAACCCATTGTTTCAATACCCATGTTAATTTCATTGGTTAGCATCTCGTGGACATTAAAAAGAAAACATTTCTTCTGAGATAAGTAAAATAGGGCAAAATTAAAAGAAAAAGGCGAGATATTTACGTTGAAACGATGAATATCGGATTTGAAGTGGGAGCGCTGGTCCTGGAGAGAGTCAAACTCGACCTTGCAGGTGTTGCAAGTCCATCTGGGCACGGCGACGCCGTTTTTGGAACTCTCTGCTTCCGTTTCGTCGGTGTTATTTTGGTTTTCTAGAGAAAATTTCTCAGAAATTGAGAGGGGCTCGAAAACTGAAGCTAAAGAAGGAGAAAGTAAGCGACAAGAATCGAAGAAGTTGGCTGGGAGGTCGAATATTGAACGCTGTCGTCTTTCTTGTGAACTCGTGGCAGCAGAGGCGAAGGGAAGAGGCTCGCTCGCCATGGTTGTGGACTTTGTTCCTTACGTCCCGTTCAGGATTTTGACAACGCAACGTTAGTCTGTTGAGCTTTCTGATTGATATACTTTCAGATTTTGGGCCGCCCAGCCCAAAGGAAAGGAATATTTCTTTGGGCTTGAACCCTTTGCTTTGCTACAGATTGTTTTCCTTTTTTGCCGGTGACTTCGTTATAAATTTAGTTAACTATAATCTATACAATGAGATCCTGAAATTGTTCATGGGTACACAAAATGGCATGGAGGTTGTCTAGTCCATCAGGGTGAGTGCTCTCATCGAATATAAGAAGCCGGAGGAGAGAGAAAAGGGGTAAGAAAATCAAAGATTTCCGTGGACGTACCGTCTGTCTTTTAAAATTCTTTTTCCTCTGGATAATAACTCCCTGGTAACGTTTGACCTGGACATAAACCACTCAATCAATTTATTGGCAACGCTGTGCGTGTTGCTGCTGTTAAATTAATCATATGTATCTGCGGTAAGGTCTTTTTTATTCTTATTTTCATTTTTTAAGCCAGAAGATCTTTTTGTATTAAAGCATGGCAGCTTTTAGTCAACGTGTTAGAGAATTATTATGTTCATCGCATTGCCATCACATCCGCAGCAGCACGCTACCCTAGTGAGGCGTTGTCACGTACTCAATGCAGGATTCAGGCAGCGGCCTGCCCTGCCAATGTGCGGTTAAAACCCCATACAGCCCACCCTTACTTTAATTTTTAATTAAGTTTCGAATACGACAATGAGCAAGTTTAATGTGGCAATGACATTTAAAAAATAGAAGAGGATGATCATAATTCATACCAAGATTTTCATTTGAAATAAATTGGTAATTGGAGAAGTTGGAGCATCAAATGCTTCGCGTTGGAAAAACCCAATACCATAAAGTGCTGGGAAGATTTTATATGGGCAAGGATCAAGTGAGCTAGAGCCCTAATATATGTGAGGACAGCTTCCTAACAAAACCGAAGAGCATATGACAGATTGGCAGTGCAATTCATGATTTCATCCACTCCACAGTCCACACTGAACTTGCAAGATAGAACCGTTTGGGCACAGAGCAGGACCACTCACAGTCACATATTACCCACTGGCACAACATTTTAGGCTCCCATTTGCGTCTACAAGCACAGCACTTGTGTCTTGTTGTAACAAAGCCCCATCATCTCCAACCGAAGAAAAAAAAAAGAAACTGAATTTTGCCAGAAATAAAAGCCAATATTGCTTTCCAGCTTCTAACCTAATTGAAATAAGGCATCTGGAATATATTAATCCATGGGGACATGGACAACCGTAAAAAAAAAAAAAAAAAGAAAGGATGTTCCCTTCAGAATGGAAAAGTGGAGCCCATCACCACAATCTCTCCAGGTGCGCTAACAGTCAAAATCCTGCTCTCCATGCGCTTCGATTTCCAGTTCCAACAATCAATACAAGTCTAATCGAATCTAATCCCTTTACGTACTTATTTAGATTCAATCGTATTTTTTACGATAAATTTAAATTTATCATATTATTAATAAAAATTAAATATTAATTTTAATAAAATTTATTTAATAAATTTATTTAATTATTTTTAATTTTATCACAATTAATCTAATCGGGAGCCTCAATTTAACGATAATGAAAGCACATAAGATCCCATAAATCCAACGGCAAAAATAATTAAATAAATAAACAAACACCGGTCCAGTATTTCTCTTCACACCCAGATGGCTGCCAAAAAGTCCGCTGCTGGCTCTCAGATTCCCTCCCTCTCTGTCCCTCATCCAACCCCATAAATTAAATTCCAAATAAATTAAAAATAAAAACCCCTATCTAATCAAAGTAACAAATAAAAAAAACTAAAAAAGAATAATTAACAGACCGGCATAATTACGATTCAGGACAAGAGAACCGAAGAAACGACAGCGACAAAGATAGTGAAAACAACAGTGCGAAACAGAGGCGCACTCACGTGACCAGCAGCATTATCCGAGGTGCTGTTCTCCGAGGATCCAGCTGGCGCATCTGCCGGGGATCCGGAGGGTGCGTCAGTTGGTGGAGCTGGAGGTGAAGCGGCCAGCGGTGATGGTGCTTCGGACACAGGAGATGGACTTGGAGACACTGAAGGTGTAGGTGAAGGCGATGAAACTGGCTCCGGGGCAGGTGCTGGCGACGGCGACTTGCCGAACAACTCTGACGGAAGCAAGACGTTGTCAACAGTGAATATCACGAATGGTGGTGAGTCATAAACCGCTTCGGCCACTCTGGATGAGCCAACTCCGGTATGAAGCGTGACCGAGTCGCCAGAGGTTGTAACTATCAGATCGAACTTTCCAGCACCGTTAGTGGCCAATGTATTGACCGGATCTTTTGTTGTCTTTAATGTTCCCTTAGGTTTGTAATCTGGTGAGGCGTGGTACTCTAGAAGCGACACTTGATCGGCATTGGTGAGCTTGCTAAGATCAGGGAGACCTGCGGCTTTAAAAGCTTCATCAGACGGCGCAAAAATGGTCAAACCCTTATCAAGCGCTGACTCGTAAGTTTTAAGCACGCCACTGCTGATAAGCAAAGTAGCAAAAGTCTTGCAGCCGGCTTTTTCGAGCAAACCGGTAATGTTAACGTCAGAAGTCGACGGGGCCGGAGCCGTTAAGATTCCCGGAGCAATAATCGGAGCGCTGATCTCGAGGATAGAGATATTGTAGGGAATCTGCTTAACGGACTTAATGTAAGAGGAGTCAAGTTTGGAGCCGGGAATTGCGGAGCCGAAGCCTACTTTTCCACCTTGGAGATCGGTGATGTTGACAAAGCCGAGGTTTCCAGGGGCATTTCCGGTGGTTTGGTAAAGAGTGGTAGTGAGGGTGGTTCCTTTGGAGATTTGGTGGAGCTTTTGCGGGTCATAGTAGTCTAGAAGAACGTGAAAGCTAAGGATGTTTTTGACGACGGAAAGTGGGTGTTTGGCTGTGAGAGCAGACATAGCCCCATTGTTGAGGACAAGGCAAGTGATTGTTTCTCGGGTGTTGATCTCATCGGCCAGCTTTGTTTGGGAGAGGAAGCTGTTGTAAACCGAGTAATCTGGAAAACCTTCTAATATGGCAGTTATATTGTGGGCATTGGCAGCAATAGCAACCAAACAGAGAGTGAAGAGGAAGAGGTTGAGTGGGTGAAATGCGCCCATCGTGAACGTTGATGAGGTCGGCAGAGCTGAGTCAGTGAATAAGCACATAGTGAGAGTACGTGTAGAAGAAGAGCATAAAAAAGAAAGATTTGGGAGGCGGGTTAGAATTTTTAGCTAGGGTTAAGTTAAACTATGGTTTAGTAGTCGAAGGGAATGGGTCAGGCATGCTTTGGCCACAGCTGGAAGCTGGGAATGCAAACGATTTTTGTCTTGTGGGTAAAATTGACAATTATAGACTTCGGCTTTTAGATTATACCATCATCGAAGCTATCCGTTATGAGCGCTTTATAACGGCTACTAACCCAAAGGACGCACTGTCGCATGGCTTGGTTACTCGTTCACGTTGATTCATCCAATGGTTGATTTTCAACTTGGAGAGTTGACAGTTGGTCTTTTGTTTGTGTGTGTGTTAATGTTCGATCAACTGTGTGTTTTCTTCACATAAATTCCAATCATATTAATTAATTAATTGCATCAAAACTTTAATGATTCATCCAAAGAATTTCCTTTTATACAAAGCTTGTACCCCACGCCACTTCCCACATCCCAGCCATGATCTCAGATTCTCAGTCCTTTGTGTGACCCCCAAAATCTCCTCCAAAATAGTGTCAAATTCTTCATCCTTTTCCTTTTGTTTTCGTAGTTGAGAAAGTGAATATTTCTTCATTCATAAGATTTAGCCTTTTGATAAAACTAAAGAGGAACCAAACCTCAGTATCAAGCAGGAAGCATAAATTACACCTGGTGTTGGGTGGGTTGGGTAATATTAAAAAGGGAATTTACCTATTAGATGAAGGGAAGGAAAGAAAAGGAGAAAGGTGTGAAATATTATATATTTGGCTTGGACCAGTGGATTTGAAATATGGGTTACTGTGAAAGCTTAAATTTTCGGCAACAAGTTAGCATCACAGCACAGCGTAAATCAAAGAATAGGGAATATGCAAAGATTGTTTTCCATTGGACGCCATGTAACAGGTGACAATGTGCCCCCATTAAGATTTTGAAAGAAATATAGTTGGTCCACTGACAACTTGAGAAGATTTTGCATAGAAGTTGAACTGGAGCTGAAAACACCTGTCCGTCTCATACATTTAGCTGCCACAAAAAAATAGAAAAAAGAAAAAAAAAAAAAAAAAGAGCACTTTAACATAGGTTTATATGGGACGAGCTATTATGAAGAATGATGGATTGGACTCTCTCTTCTCAATCATTACTAGACCGAACTTCAAATCAGGTTAAATTTGGACTAAAACCAGTTGATATATGGGCCTACATATCGTTTCAGCCACTTAAATCGTCAATCCAACAAAAAACAAATGACAACATCATAAATAAGCAACCATCGGACACTTGATGGAGACGGTCCACCTGTCGTTGCTGACATGCAGAACCGGGCCCCCCACCTCTTCGCTTAAAGTACGACCCACCATAACTGAAATCAGTGACGTGTCCTCCGCTTCCTATTCATAGTGCCAGGCAATCAATCTGACAATGCGCGTGACACACAACTGACCACTTTGTCACCGTCTGCAACAGCACCATTCTTCCACCATGTCATTGGACCGTCCATTTCACACGCCGATTTTGAGAAGAGAACTTCACTTTTGAAGCATGTTAAAGAAACTGAGTTTTGCCTGCGGCTACAGCGAAGGCTGATACTGTCAGAATCCGGACACGCGCATTAACCTCCACTTTATGTCACACTCGTCGCTCCCTTCATAAAACAGGACCAAGTAAGTGATCATGTTTAAGTTCAAGCAACTCACTTTTGGAAATTCGCTTCTGTTTTAACAAATCTCTGTCCCATTTTTTCCTTCTATCACTATTGATTTTCTATTCTGCAACGTTCTAAGACAACCCAGATTAATCTTTTTATTATCTTCTGTTCGGTCTGTTTCTACAGTTCCTTTAGTATGTCGTTAATGGAGGCCCAACCGGTTCAAAGACCACCTCTTCCAGATTCTGGTACATATATATAGCAGTACTAGTAGGAGTAATTAGAGATTTGAAAGTATTGTGGTTGGTTAATTAATTTTGAACATTTTCTTAATCGCAGGTGGTGGTGGGAGTGGGACCCAGGAGAGGTCGGAGGAGAAGGGAGAGGTAGAGAAGAAGAAGAAGGAAGGATCACCTTCAATCAAGTTGGGCCTCGGGATTGATGAAAACACGTCCGAGAAACCCTTGATGAAACACGGAAAGTGTGTGTTTACGACAGCACAGTTGCATGAGCTGCAATTACAAGCGCTTATCTGCAAGTACATAGCGGGTGGAATCCCAGTTCCTGTTAACCTTGTTATGCCCATTTGGAAAAGCGCTGCTTCCTCCTCCTTTGCCTCTGCTCATGGCTGTATCTATGAACGGTATCCGAGCTGTAAGCTTTCTTCTTTTTAACGTTTCTCTTGCCTAGAATCAGGTTTTTCTTTTTTCTTTTTGCTTTTTCTCATATCAATGTGTTATTAATTTTCTTTCATTTCTTTAAAAAAAAAAAAAAAAGATGTTTTGATGCTTTTAGGCTTGGAATTTGAGATGCTCATGTCTTTATTGTTAAATACTAGTATTAATTAAATTTCAGTTATTCCTGGAAATCAAATTGAGTCCCCTTGTACTCTTGACAAGATTTTGCCTGCTTGAACTTTGAATTTGAGTTTCATTAAGGATTATGGACTACTTTGCCACTAGGAATTTTAACTTGAGTAAGTTACATTATAAAATGGATTAGTCTGTCGATAATAGTTAAAAAGTTAGCCTGACAGACGTTTAAATGGTGTTTTGTCTTTCAATAAAATGATTTGGTTTCAGTAATGTGAATTTACATGAAGAATTGTGAATCTTTATTTCGCTTTTATTGCTTCAGTTGTAGGAGTTAGTCCTCAAGGATTTGATTACAGGAACATGATGGATCCTGAGCCAGGGAGGTGTAGAAGAACGGATGGGAAGAAATGGCGGTGCAGTAAGAATGTGATTCCTGATCAGAAGTACTGTGAGCAGCACATGCATAGGGGTTGTCGGCGTTCAAGAAAGCCTGTGGAACCTTCTCAGATTACTTTACCTTACTCAACATTATCAAAGAATTCAAATAAAGTATCAGAAAACTCAAAAAAGCTTTCAGCCCCTGTAAGTTTTCCATCTTCCTGTAGTACCAGCACCAGCCATGAGACCACTGCTATGGATAGCAACAATGCATGCAGCAATAGAAACTCCATTTCTACAAATGCCACCACTAGCAGTACCACCATCACCAAAACAAACAACAATAACAAAAACGATTGCAAATGGAACAAAAACTCCCCAAATACTAGTGAGAAGGGTGAAGAGAAACTCTCTGTTTGTGACAGAAGCAGTAAGTGTGGAAACAAAGCCACTGTTGGTAATAGTATATCTCCGGTTGTGGGCTTTTCTCCAAAAAGCGTTCTTCAAGGTAGTGCCATAAAGACTGAAATAATGTTCTCGTTACATGATTCCTACCGCTAGCCCCTTTCCAGCACCCTCCTATCCCTTTTCTGTTTTGGCTATAAAAACCATATATGTTACATGTCATTTAATTTATAAGCCTTTTGAATTTGCTTAAACTGCATGGATTCATGGTTTTTTCTTGTAAGAATCATTTGATAGTCCCCGTTGTTTTCTTTTTGATAAAGAAAAACATTTTTCATGTTATTCTACCTTTTATACCATATCATTTTAGTTTAGTAGATCATGCTTACAATGTACATGCTCAAAAATGTTGTGCTGCATGAAGTTATTTACCATAACCATTGTTATTAGTGCTTGCACTATTTGAATAGAATCAGTTATAATTACCTTTTTGTTGTTATGCACAGCATTGGACATAACAGTTCAACCCCTGTAGGACCTTTTTATGCTAATTAAAATGACTTGTCCAGTTATTATTTCAGTTCCAGGCTGTAGCAGTTCCCGTGTTTACAAAAACGAAACAGAGCTTGAACTAGGGAGGTGTAGGAGAACAGATGGGAAAAGATGGCGATGCAGCAGGGATGTTATTCCTGATCAGAAATATTGTGCACGGCACATGCACAGAGGCGCAAGAAAGCGCGTGGAGGTTTCTCAGCCTGTTGTCATTCCCACTATCGGTGATCGTTCACCTAGTAGAATAACAATATCCAACAAAGCTGCTTGTACAGCCCTGAGCACCGGCCTTTCTATTTCAATTCCAAGTCCTCAGCCCATTTCAAAAGATGAAAAAAGTATGAGCAGCAGCAGTGAGACTACCATCAGTGACAACCACCAACACTGTCTTCGAGAATGGTAACTTTTCTTGATGTGATCTTATTTGGAAGATTAAACTTTTATGAGTTTAGATCCAACTTTTATGCCAACTTGAGATGATTAAGGTGTTTCTTAATAAAGAAAAACAAGAATATTAGGTGTCATTCTGTGGTGAGCTATACTCAAGAAGTTGGGGGAAAATGGTGATCAACGAACTTCATGGCTGGAGTTTCTTTTTTATCAGAAATCTGACATCATTTTCATGTACCAATCCAGTGGCCAATTGTTGAATTCAAAATTTTGTTAAGATAAGAAAGGGTGCCTTCCTTTGCGTTTTTAGGTGGGCAGAAACTGATGAGTTCCTTGATATCTGTTCTTGTAATAGGTTTATTGATTTTACTCCAATGTACTTAATTTCCCTGTTGGATTTCTATATGCCATTAGTCCGAAGATTTGATGACTCACATTAATTCTAAAAGAGTTTGTAGTATTCTTGCGTTCACCCCAGTTTTTGTTGCAATTTGAAGGAACCTTCAAGCAGCCACTTAACTTTCTTCGGATGTATACAAGAGAAGCAAAGACAACAAAAAAAACTGAAACAGATTCATTGCCTTAACACACTGAAGGTCTCTGGTTTGAGCCCGGGACAACGCCTTCTTTATTTTTCACCTTTTTTACCCTTTTGCATGTGGATTCTGAACTGTTGATTTTTGTCACATTTCATAACTTATAAATTTACACCATATGCTGGTCGTCCAAGCCGTGACCTTTTGGTTACCTTTTTCACTCTTTTGCATTTGGTTCAATGTCAATTCGATTACAGACAAGGGAATCTTGTAAGAATCATGCAAGAAAATCATAGATGACTGTAACTTCCGCACTCACTATAGTTCAAATAACGCGATTAACATGTTAGAAAAATGCAGAAATTGACCCAGAAAATACTTCGATAACCCATTACTTACAATTTCTGTAATCAAGTTCATTGTTGAAAGCCTATATGGACCAAAGCAGAGCTTAATGTATGACAAAAGAGCCTTGCCTTGGTGAAAAGGTTTCACAAAAACTAACGAAAGTGGTGTCTTCCCACAAAAACCTAGCCAGACAGGCAACAGGCCTCTGCACTATGCAAAGATGGAGGGTTACAATAAAATCTTTCAAACCCACTTTGGTCTTCTCCAAGTTTGAGCTACACTCTACTGACTATTCTGGTCATTCTTGAGAGCTTTATAGCATTACACCTGAAACTGTTAGAAGTCCTATTTTTTGCAGGTACCCATAGGGTTTGCATTCTTAATAATCCAAGGGTGGTCCATGATCTTCTGAAGAGAGAGCCGTTTGGAGGAGTCCCTCACAAGAAGCTGCAAATAAGATTTAAGCACTGCGTTCAGAATTTCAGATGTCAAATTCTACAATCATTCTCCATAACCAATGTCTATGTAAAGGTATTTGAGAGACTAAGGGGCATAGTTTTACCTGGCTGATGAGATCTTTAGCCTCCATTGAGACATAAGGAGTGGATGGGAAGCTCAGGTCAACCTTCATAATCCTGTATACCACAGCTTGATTCACTGGCTTAATTATCATACCATGTTCCAACCCGCATTAGATAAAGCATAAGAAACCACCCATTCCTACCAACCTTTTGAATGTATCGCTGTGACTATCGGCCTCAAATGGAGAAGCACCATATAGGAAATCATAACAAAGGATGCTCAAAGTCCAGTTATCCACTGCATAATCATAAGCTTTGTTTTCCACCATTTTTCTGGTGCTAAATAATCCAGAGTTCCACACACTGTATCTCTTGCTTGTTGACTGTACGGACCATCTAAAGTCTGCAATCTTCCACCGACCTTATATATGCAATCACAATGGAATTACTTGCACTCGAACACAATTCGAGAAATATGACAACATTAATGATTAAACCCAATATTTGATTTCATACAAAAATTCCCATGCTGGATGTCATACAAAATCTAAAATGGGTTTACCTATAGGTCACAGTTATGCAAAAGAAGTGGATGCGAAACCAAGAAGAGAAAAAGCAAATGCATCGGCTCACCTCATGATCAAGCAGCAAATTTTCTGGCTTGATATCCCTGTGAAACAAGGAAAAAGAGATTGGATCATTACTGTGGCAGCTTGCTTCTCACTGAGATGAACATTTTTTCTAAGCTCCCTATAAGCTCACCCCGATAAGCATACTTAAGAATCAAGAAAATACGTTCGCCATCATGAAACCAGCCATAAAGCCGCAGTTTCTTAGGGTGGCTCCTCAACTGGTGGTGGATCCTGTACTTTTCCATTTTTTCCTTGAATATGACCTTCAATGCCACAAAGTATTTGCTCTACCAAAAACACGAATCCTTCAGAATTGGAGTGGAGTGAAGAGAAGTGATATGAATTCAATGAAAAAGAAAATGGAAACAGAGGAGAGTTTACCTTGACTTCTCTGGCGAGATAGACCCTAGCGAAATTGGCCTTTGCACAGGGGCTTTCCGATCTCGAAGTCTTGTAAGGACCATTCTCGTTTTGGATTTCCTTCTGATTCTCTTTGACATGCCATTCTCCGCATTCTGATACGAAATGCCGGATGAGAGACACGCACGACCAGGGGAAGAAGCTACTTAGGAAGATCAGGAATTTGAACTTCAGAACCCGGCCATGTCACTCGAGCCTATAGCTTTCAATGGGCCAGGATGCGAGGCCAGATAGCTTAAGCCCAACACCTACAAATCTGAGGTTGAGAGATCCAAGAATTTTTTTACTTGCTTTACTAAAAAATCTTTAGACAAATGATAAAAAAAGAAAAATAAAACTTTTGAATAAAAATTTAATAATGATTTAAAATTTTAATATTTTATTACAATTAATTAAATCTTAAATTTTTTATTTTAAATTAATTGAACCTCTAACTATCAATTTTCATCTAATTAAACTTATAAACATCTATTTTCACGTAATTAAACTTTGAACTAAAAGAAATAAGTGTTGACTGCTAATTAATTTTCATTGAATAAAGACTATTGTTGAAAATAAATATTTAAAGATTTAATTAATTACAATAAAATGATAAAAATTTGAATGATTGTTGAAAATTCGGTCGAAAATTTTTTTATCCTTTAGCCCAATCATAACAGTAAATACATGAAACAACTACACTTAGCATTTCATTTTTTGCTAGTAGATAGAACAATTTCACAGTTCCTTTTATCTTAAAAACATTATTAAATCAAATAAAAACAACACTTCATAGGACACATTGCCAAAGAATTACATAGAAAAATCCTTGACCAGTGTTCAGATTTTAGTTTCTTAATAATACACAATTGGTGGTGCTAGGAGTTGCTTTTTGTCTTTGCTTAAGCTGTTCTTTGAACAGTCAAAGGTCATAAAGCTCAAGTTCTGGTTTCAATTTGAGCCAAACTCCTGGTTCCACCGCTCAAGTTCTTCCCACTTGCTTTTGCTTAAGCTGGGCCTTATAACCGTCATTGCCTTCTGAAAGTCTTCATATCTTAGTGGTCTCACCTAGAACAATAAACACTGATTAGTTTTAGAACAACATCTGGAATCAGTCTGTAAACTCATGAACAACACGCAAACTCATGAGATGAACTAAATCTATCCTGAGAAAGGTAATTCAAAATCTGTATCTTTCTGATTTTCACGAAAGCAAAATCTGAATCTACAACCCCAGGTTAATTCAATTTTGGCATAAGATAATACATCTATCTCTTTACTTCCATCATTTGCCAAAAACAAACTTCAGCATCATCTCACTGGGAACGGTTTCCATACAAGACCCTTTCAACTGATAATCCTCAACGGTCTTGTTACTGATTAGGATCATTCTCTTCATGTGTGGGGTACAAGAGCAGGCTCTCAGTGCAGATGTCAGAGTGGGTGTGTTGAACATTATTTGTCATAGTTGTATGGGGGACGGGGGACATCTAGACTCATAACAGATGTGATTGCTTCAATATGTAGATGGAATATTTACGAAATAGAAACCACAATACTGCAAAAATTCATTTACCAAATGAAGCCTCCCCGACATTTTATTTTTTGAACCAAAATGATTCCTGTAGAACTCTAGATCCACAATAAAACTGCAATATCTAACTTGAAAATTGCTGCAGGATCTACAAATCAGATTTCTACTTAGGCACACAATGAGAAATAGCTATTTTCTTGCTGGACTACCTGATTTGCCTTGACAGTAAGGATATTTGAACCAAGCTCTCTAATTGGCATCATAGCTGCCTCTTCGCATAATGCTTGCAGATCACTTCCAGAATATCCTATTTACAAAGAGATGCCAAAGGATAAGTTCTACGATCGAATACTACTGTTTCAGAGCATTGCTGCCTAAGTGCACTGTAAGTGCATTGGCTGCAACATAGCAACCACCACTTCAACCAAGCCAAAGGCAGAATATAGAAGGCATTAGTATTGCCCAAAGTCTTATTGCTAATGAAATGGGTCATGAAGATAAACTACTGCCATCCACGACGCACATTGCTCAAAAGCATAACATGGAGAATTATCTTACCTTCTGTCTCTCTCACAAGCCGTTCTAGGTCCCGACCTATCACAGACAATGGAAATTGAATTGTCATGTAAGGGCCATGGTTGTGCAGTTAAAAGGGACAGATAACAACTTTTTTTAAAAGTATTTAAACATGCATTTGTTACCTCAACTTTAAGAGAGAGAGAAAGAGAAGCAAAATTATGCAATATATGAGCTCATAGAAATAAAAAGGCATGAATTCATAATTACAGAACAAGAGCATCCCTTACCAGGTATGGAAAATGCTTGACCCTTGAGTTTGTGCTTTAGAAGAAGTCTCCTAACATTTTCATCTGGCAGAGGCACATATATCCTCTTAACCTGATCCAGGGAATAGATCATAACCATATTCATCTTTTAAAGAAATTTCAGTGAAACACTATCTTTTGAGTTACTGGGAAAATCAATTTGAAGCAAGTTCAAGCAACAGAAAACTAACCAATCTTCTAAGAACAGCATCATCCAATTCTTGAGGCTTATTAGTGGCACCTGGATTAACACGTGAAGAAGCAAGCATATACAATCAAATATGGAATCACACATATGCAATCAAAGCAGATTGGATTAACACAAATAAAAAACAGTTTTATAGATTTCATAGTTGTCATATGACAAGTTTGGATAAAAATTTTATTGCACAAATCCAATCATTTTCTTCAATAATTTGGATCTAATTACCAGATTAAATGAATAAGTAGCATTTACCAATGACAATTACTAAATCATTAGGATTGGAGGTCACCCCATCAAACTGGATTAAAAACTCTGACTTCAGCCGTCTGCTAGCATCATTTTCATTAGCCAACCTGGTTGACATGACACTATCAATCTGTAAACAACCAAAAATGTTAAAATAAAATGTCAATAATGCCTAGGTATACGCAGCATTTGACAGGCTACCATCAGTTAAAATCAATGATTCAACCCATATAAAGAAAAAAAATGGGGGGATTATAGTGAGAATGGAGATGGTATTAATGTGAATGATGGCAGTTAAGAGGTGTAAATAAAATGTAGCAGAATGTAACATAAATATAATTTCACGTCCGTTAACATCAAAATAGATGTACAGTGTCCTGAAGACTCAGAAGAAACATTGAATCCCAACAGGCACTAACAGATCATCCTTAGGACAGTGTACTTTATGGCAGATATGCAAAAAGCTAAGATGACCTAGAGATTATGGATGTGCAATACCACATAAATGCTGAAAGGAAATAAAAATTATCCAAGTCATTAGCAGTAAGTAGTATTAGCAAATTAATCTTAAACTAAGTTCGTCTTAACAGTGCTCAACAATTTGATAGGAAGTAACAGAAACAAAAGGAACGTCAAAGAGGGAAAAAGTGCAATCTTGAAGCAGTTCCAGAACATGACAATGACAACTAATTTGGGGAGGAAAACTATAAACCATAATGCCACAATGAGCAAGGGGAGAGAACTGACATACTTCATCCATGAAAATTACAGATGGCTGTTTGGATGTAGCAACCATGAAGAGAGTCCGGACAAGCTTTTCACCCTCTCCTACCTGATTGATTGACAAAGAACACAGTCAAGAGCACCGTTTAAAGGAGGTAAGAAAAATGAAGAACACACCCAGCATCATTTAATTTTTTTTCTTTTTCCAAAAGAAAAAAAGGATATAATAGCAAGGACAGAGACAAACCCATTTAGATGTTAGAGAGGATGCAGAAACATTGAAGAATGTTGCTTGTGATTCAGATGCAACTGCTTTGGCAAGCATTGTCTTCCCATTACCAGGTGGACCAAAAAGAAGCAGACCTAGAAACCAAAATGCAGCAGTTTTGTTCATTAAACAAACTCCTTAAGTACTGAAAACTTATCTTCATGAATGTGATAATCTTGTAAGATTCTACCTCTAGCTGGCCTTCTAAGGCCAGTGAACAAATCTCGTCTTCTAGTTGGCAAAATAACCATTTCCATTAATGCTTGCTTAGCCTTCTCTAGGCCAGCTGCAAACAATAGAGAGAAGTAAGTTTATAACATCAATGCAAGTGAAAAAAGAAAAAAAAAAAAAGGAAGGTAAGCATTAGAAAGAAAAAACAAAACGAAGGGAAGAGAATGTATGATATCTTACCAACATCTTCCCATTTAACAGCAGGGCTTCTATCAACAATCGCTGTATTTATCATTTCAACCAACTTTGACTCATAACCATTAGCAGATTCTTGTGCTGGTTTCGAGCTCCCAACTTTACCAACCTGATTTCTCACCACTGGATTAGAAGGAGACTTTTGTAACACATCTCTCCTAGAATTTGATGTTCTTGGTGAAACTGCAGCAGTTTGTGCATGAGTTAAGGTGTTCTGCAAATATTTTATATATTATAAAAAATAAAACCAGGTAAAACAATAATCAATATTAGTACCTAACAACTGCATAAATTTCCAATTAACCAATGACAGAATAACAATGTCGATTAACACAGTTTCCATCCAGTAAACACACTTAAGTGAACATTCAAACAGCACAAATTTAAGGATTTGACTGAGAAAGCCATACCTTGTTCATGGATGTGCCACCTGAAATAAGAAGTTAAAAAAATAACAAAACACAAATGAAGTATAAGCTTTTTAATTTTCTAAAATGAATTAAAATGCAAAAGTGTCAAAATACTATTATTATTAACCTGCTCGGGGGCTTAAAACCTGTAGTCTCTCTGATACTTGGCCTTGCCATTTCGAAATCTTTTGCCTATACGATTTCACCTTTTCTTGTTCACTACACAAAAAAAAAAAAAAAGTGAGAAATCAAAATCACAATTCATCAACATCAGATGATCAGGAAACCAACAAAATAAAGTAAAATTCAAAGCTAATTATTGAAATACATAGAGCTGATATATGAAGGTGCCGGGGTGGAGCTAGCCTCGATCAATATTCGGTGTGCGTTTTTATAGTGAATCACAGCGTCGTCTACTAAACCCCATTCCTCGGCTCGAACCGCCTTGTCGATCTCTTCTTTAGCCAAATCGAAGTATCCTTTGAGCTTATATGCGATGCGTTCGTTTCCAGCTATTCCCTCCATGTTTCGACACGCTGATGAGCTAGGGTTTTGTGTTGATTCATATGGTGAGCTATCGGTTGAGAGGATTGAACTTAGAGAGTCGATTATGCCTTTGAGAAAACTCATATCTACAATCATACAAAACGAAATTGATTAACTTTCGAAGAAAGAGATTAAGATATTTTAAAGATGACAAGTAATTTCGCTAACCATTTATGAAAAAAATAGTGGAATTCCTGAAGAAGAAAATTCATCTCTGAGATTAAATTGAAAAAAAAAACCAATTGTTTTCAACACCAAAAAGGAATTTTGCCCGGAATTTAATTGGTGAGAGCGAGAGAGAGAACGAAAAAAGGATAACTCCGTTGCGTTGCGTTGAAGATTCTCCGGTAACTATAATTTTTTAACCTCCACAGCAAGACCGCTAATGACTACGCGACGAGAGAAAGACAAGGGGTATTTTAGACTTTTAGCCTAGACTAACTTCGTTTGTTTTAGAGATGGTTCACCATTGGTCTATTTATAGTCGGCCCAATTTAAATATGATAATGGATGGCCCTAAATGTTCTCATGGGCTAGACTTGACGGTCTCAATGTAGATTTTAATCGGGCCTATACCTCAAAACAGATTGGCAGGCCACCCAAAGATTTCCCCGGCCGGCAAACATTTATTTATCCCCTGTTCGACCAATTGTTGCGACCAATGTGAACCGTTTTGTAAGGATAAAGCTTTTAATGGACCGTTATTTCTACTTTTTTTACTTCATTATTTCTTCCCTAGTCTTTTCTGACTCTTTTCTATTTTTTTTAATCATGAAATTAACGTTTTTCCCGATATTTAAAGTAATGATAATTAATTTAAGATTTCTTTTGAATTTTCATCGCATTTTTTGTACTGTTGTTTTTCTTTTACTAAGAAAGAAACTTAGGAGTATAGCTAGCAAGTAGTGACTGCCCCTAAATCCAAAGAAATGCTAATATTAGGTTTGGCAATAGTGTGTTGATAGCATAGCAATTTACTTTGCTGATGAGTTTAAATATTTTTATAATATTGATATGCCATTTTTTTATTGTCAAAAAAAAATGCAAAATAATTTTTTAAAAAAATTTAAAAAAATTTTATTTTAAAACATCCCCAAAAAATTTGTGAACATTTATAATAGAATGAAGCGAATAATATATTACATGGAGTAGTGGTCCTAATTATTAGCACGTAATACTTATTAATTAATCGGATTATTTAAATTAGAATCATTTAAAAAAGGGATTTTAAACATGTGTTAAAATAACATCATCTCAAAACATGTAATTATTATTACATAGTCATCTCATCAAATCAAATCAACTTTCCAGTTCAATTTGATCTGGTTAATTCATTTGAAAATTAACAAACAATTAAAAAAGAAAAAGAAAAAAAATCATTAACGTATTGTTATACATGGTTTAGTAATTATATATTTTTTTATTTGAAATATTTTATGTTTGATAAATATTTTAGGTCTCGATTAATTTAAAATGAAGTTAAATCAAATTTCATAAAAGAGTCAAATTTTTTTAAATTTATTTTTTTAATTCATAAAATTTAAAATCAAAATCTTACTTTAAAAAAATTAAATTTTTTATCACTCAAATCAATAATCTTTGGTTATATATGTATATAATACTTCAACTCAAATAATAATTGGATTAAATTATTATTACAACATATTAATTTATCTAAATAGATAATAAAAATTAAAAAAAAAATTTATGAAAATTAATATCCAACTTATAAAATATTATCTATTTTAATTCAAAAATTTTAAAATTTTATCTTATAAAAATACTTTATAAATTTAAATTTAATTATCAATTTATATATTATAATAAATTTTCTAAACATCCGGATTAAGATATCACGACGTAACAGGATGAAAGTCATGGTGTACATCTTTCTCTCTTCTACCCTACTGTTTTTTCTTTTTTTTTCCTTAGGGTCAAATAACATTTAATTTGGCTTAACACAAAAGTCAACTATCTCCATCAGGAAAAAAAAAAAACCCAAAAATAAGACAAAAACTTACAAAACTTTAATGGGATAGTTTCCCTTTCAGTTAAAAGTTTAAAGAATAAAATAAAAGTAATTAGTGCTAATAAAATTTTATTTTTTTATTGAAATTTTATTTTTATAAATTGTTCTGTAATTAATTTTTTATTTTGATAAATTAATTTAGGGTTTTCCAGTGCCTATAACTATGTGATTATATTAGTTTAAGTCTTAAGTTTCATAATACGTAAATTTGGTATAGTTTTATATTAAATTTATTTTTAATACTTGATTATTATTACAATAATTCTTAATTACTTATAAAAAAAAAAGTAATTAGTTGTAATTTGTAAAGAAATATCAATTTCGTGAGCCCCAAGTTATAGTCAAGAAATCAAAATGAAAGGAAAAATAAAGCAGCTAAGATGAATTAGCATTTTGTTTAATTACTTCCAAATAAGAGTAACAAGAATCAACAGGTACACGTTGATATTAATATTTGAAGTTACAGCCAACAACTTGTTTTAAATTGGCCATTAATATTGAAGTAACATAGCTAGCTAGTGATAGGTTTGGCATTCTGAACCAAGTTCGAGTTATTTGTGACCTGGTGGACGTACGTGCCTCACTTTCGCCCATATGTTGTACGTTCAATGTTAAACTTTTATATATATGGATTGGAAATTTTGTACCGTTAAAAATTTATTTGATACATTGGTATTCATAAATACGGTTTAAATCATAATATATATTTTATTTATTTTTTAAATTAATCACTTTAAATATATAAGAGACATGTATAATTGTTTTAATTTCATTTATGAAGTTAAAAAATTTCATTATTCAAAACCGAATTAAATGAATTATATTATTTTTTTCATTAACTAAAACGAATTTATGAATTTTGAAAATTTATTGATCAAATTAAATTTAGTCGGTTCAATTAGTTTTTTTCGTTAATCAAATAATAAATGCATTTAAGTTAAATTATATTTTAAACTCTTAATTTTTTTTATTTTAAACAAATTAAATAAAGTTATTTAAATACTAAAATATTATGTTAAAAATTTCAACAAATTATGAAATTAAGTTATTCATTTTATATATTTTTTAGTTTATATTTAGATTATGTTATATTTCGATTAAAATTTTAATTAATATGATTAATTTGGTTCAAAAATTGAATTAACGGAAAATCAAAAATTTAAATACTAAAATATTATATTAAAAATTTTAACAAGTTATGAAATTAAATAATTCATTTTATGTATTTTTCGGTTTATATTTAGATTATGTTATATTTAGGCTAAAATTTTGGTTAATTCGATTTTCGAACTAAAATAATCATAAATCAAAATTCTTCTAAACTTATTTTTGTTAATTAACTGAAATTAATTTAGTGACCAACCAATTAACCGAATTAAATCAATTCGATCAATTAATTCAGTTAAAACTAAATTATAAACACCCTTAATTGTCAATGTATTTGATAATTTTTCAATCTAAATTAAATCATAATAAATATATAAAATAAAAATTATAAATGTCATTTAAGGTATGAATTTAGATATTTATTACTTAATTCTTTTAATTATTTACAAAATTACCCAATACTTTTATAGTTAATTAATTTCTTTGTTCTTTCACCTATTTTTTATCACTTTTTTTTGTGTGCCATATCTAACATCAATATATAGGATTGAAATTTGCAAGCTTTTAATTCCCTCTCTCTATATATTTAAGACATTCCTACTTCAATCTAGACAAATTGCATCATATCCCACTGAAATATTCATGAAAGAAATGGAACTTTTGTGCACAATCTTCTTCTTGATATCATATGCACTACTCGTTCTCTTGCTAATAGTCACTTTTCTCCTTCTCAAGATATGCACCGGCAAATCCATCAAGAATCCCAATTACCCTCCAGTAAAGCGTACCGTTTTTGAACAGCTCTTCTACTTAAACAAGCTCTACGACCATCAAACCCAAGTGGCCAAAAGTCAGCCAACTTTCCGGCTGTTGGCACCTGGTCAAAGTGAGATATTCACGGCTGATATCCGAAACATAGAGCACATACTGAAAACAAACTTTGATAAGTACTGCAAGGGCGAGTATAATCAAGAAGTTCTTAAGGATCTTTTGGGTCGAGGGATTTTTGCGTCGGATGGAGAGCAGTGGCGACAGCAGAGGAAGGTTGCAAGCTTTGAATTCTCGACAAGGGTTGTTAGAGATTTTAGCTGTTCCATATTTGGAAGTAATGCTGCTAAACTTGTCAGGGTTCTACAGGAGTTGACGGTTTCGGGTCAGGTTTTTGACATGCACGTGAGTGATAAGAATCCTACGATATATAGTAACTCGACGGAAGCCTCGAATATTAAGTCAAATGTTTCTTTGTTTGTTTCAATAAAAAGAAAAAAAAATTAAATCTTGAAACCGCGATTTTTTTCTTTAATTTCATCTTTGAGCTATTAATTGACAATGGATATCATGGTTTAGGATATGCTGATGAGAAGCACATTGGATTCAATTCTGGAAATCGGGTTTGGAATAGAATTAAATTGCTTGGAAGGGTCAAACGAGGAAGGAGCTGTATTTACGAAGGCTTTTGATGATTCTAATGAACTGATTTACTGGCGTATTATTGATCCTTTCTGGAAGCTAAAACGGGTTTTGAACATTGGCTCTGAAGCTGTCCTGAAGAAGAATATCAGAATAATTGACAGTTTCGTTTACAATGTCATTAGCACCAAGAGGAAACTGTTAGCCATGCAACGAGAATATTGCGTGAGTCAATAGAATTGCATCGTCATAAGGTTTTTGTAGTTTAATAATGAATGCATGGCATTTTTTATTATTAATTATGATTGGTTTTTGTCATTTTCTTTTTTCATGGTTTCAAGGTTGTGAGGGAAGATATACTTTCAAGGTTTTTGGCAGAAAAAAGGAAAAATCCAAAGGTGATGAATGATCAATATCTAAGGGATATAATTTTGAACTTTATGATAGCTGGGAAAGATACTTCGGCAAATGCCCTGTCATGGTTCCTTTACATGCTGTGCAAAAACCCATTGATACAAGAAAAAGTGGCTCAAGAAGTGAGAGATGTCATCGGCAGGAAAGAGAATGATGCCGATATTGATAATTTCATGGCAGCTATATCCGATGCAGATCTTGAGCAAATGCATTATCTTCATGCAGCACTAACAGAGACTCTGAGATTATATCCTATAATTCCTCTGGCAAGTTTTTAAAAAAATATGTAGGATTTCGTTTTTCACACACTCACATATATATATATATATATATTAAAAATATTCTTAAACAAAGTATCTTAGCGTAAAATTCAATAATGAAATTGACCCATGATATAAAAACAAATTTTGACCTTAATCGCAATAAGGAATTGTTGGCTATGCACTCATAACATGAGATTGGATCATTAGAATATATATCTTCAATTTGTTTCTTGCGACTTTGAGTCATGCAATTCAATAATGAAACCACTAATTAATGTGGCTTTGCTTTGCTTATATTGGATATCAAGGATGGGGTTCGTGCAAAGATGGATGACATTCTCCCGGACGGCTACAAAGTCAAGAAAGGAGATGGGGTTTTCTACATGGCCTATGCCATGGGTAGAATGACTTACGTTTGGGGAGACGACGCTTGCAATTTTCGACCAGAAAGATGGCTCAACAACGGAGTTTTCCAACCACAATCACATTTCAAATTCATAGCATTTCATGTATCTAACTATATAATCTTTTTCTAACAAGAAATTTCGTACATTAATTTCAATCTATCTTTTGCTAATTCACTTTCCTTCATTTTCAGGCCGGTCCTCGCATGTGTTTAGGTAAAAATTTTGCATATAGGCAGATGAAGATAATCTCAATTGCTCTTCTCCACCACTTTCGCTTCAAATTAGCCGATGATAAGGAAAACTTAACTTATAGGACCATGCTGACGCTTCAGGTCAAGGGTGGCCTCCACCTCCAGGCAGTTCCAAAGACGACAAATACTCAATGAATTTCCAGGCATTATTGTCGGAAATCTTTAAAAATGTTCAGTACTTTTCATCACGGATAGTAACACCGTTGAATGGCCCAAAGGAAAGTATCCAAGTTCTGCCCTACTACGCTGTATATTCTGATTGTACTGCCCTACTAATTCCTTAATTAAATAGGTATCTTCCTGTATATACTCATTGTAATGCAACTATATATTGTTTATTTCACCAAGGGTTTCATCTGTTGGCTTAGTTCTTTATACCAGGCAATTGCACTCATTTTATATATATATATACATACTGGCATGTTTTTTTTTTCTTATACAATCATAAATACGATGATGGTTACTTACCACGGAAACTTGACCATACTTTTGTCTGAAGAATTGAGTTCAGAAAACTGCTAAGTGAAACCTGAGTTGTTGAGACAACACTAGGCGAGTTCGTCAAAACAGACCATTCGAGCATAATGACTCGAGTTCGAATTATTAGCTTGCATTTCTGGCATATATATCCAACGGATTGAAAATCCTGATGATCTTAATGCAAAGCTTTCGGAAATAGCAATTCAGTTAAGTTCTTCTCTTATCTCTAGATGCAAGAAAGTGGAAATTTCCTTGTGCAAAACTTTAATCATCTTAATGAGTAGGAAATAAATCCTGATATGCTCAATTCAATTTAAACAAAGTAATGGCCATATGCATGCTGTGAATTCATTATGGAATTCTGTTGTTACAGTTCAACAAAATCAAGGACAAAAATTTTCTTTTACAAAATTGAGCTCGCACTCAACAACATGCTAATCACATTCATACAAAAGGATACAGTATAGCCAGCAGCAACAAATTGACAATGTCAATGGATGCATAAACTTGAAGTAGAAATAGTTTTCATGAGTATCATGTAGTCACCGGAAGTAGATGAGGTGCACCTGGTCTTGAGGTCCATCCTTTGCGATTCCTGTAGGGCTTAATAGCTGGTAACCTTAGCCTCTCCTTGGAAGCATCTAGTAAGGTCTTTGATCCCTGCAAAAGCAGAAGCTCCCTGTTTGAGTGGAAAAAATACTAGTATAGTCTTCAATGTAATATTAAATGACAAATATTACCTTTGGTACTGTAACCAACTTCAGTGAAGCTTCAACCACATCGCCAAATTTTATGTTCTCTCTTCCAGGAAAGTCCAAGTTCTCTTCTGTTCTAGCATTCTTATGCTTTTTCTTCTTTGCTTCAAAATACCTACACATGGATTAAAAATCTGGTCAATTATATACAAAAGTAAAAGAAATGTAGCATGTGTAAAGCAGAAAAAATCATAACTATTCACAATTGAGCAGATAATTTATCATTTACAATGTGGGATAAAACTAAATCTTTACCATGTTCACCCATAGCAACAAAGGATTGCCTACCATGGTGACAAAATAACAGACATTGAGTAAATTTGATCAATACCTAAAACAAAGGTACCAGATGTAATATCATCATAAGTTTTGTTAAAAACTGAAAATTCTATCTTACTTGCTTCGTCTTTCTTTTCTTGTTTTTCTTTCCATCTCTGCTATTCTGCGTAGTTTCTTCCTCGCCATCTGAATCTTGAGATTTCCTGAAATGCTTATCATCACTTCCATCTTCGATCTCATTAGCTTTTAACCTAATTTCATTCACCTTTCGGTCCTTCTGCATGATAAATTATATTACTTGAATCTAAATCAACTGACTTACGATATGAGCTAAAGTAGACCTGGGGACAATTTATGTTTTTACTTAGCCCATTTAACATTTTTGCAGCCCATTTAGCATTAAGCCCAGTTGGTTAAGGGTTCGTTTTCTAGAAAAAACCAAATTCTGTTATTTTGTTACGGCGGGGTTAACGTCGAGCTTGTTTTTGGTGTAGCAAGGAAGGTGATACGGGAAAAAAGGACAGAAAGGAATCATTGACAAACTTCCTAAATTCTCTCTCTTCTCTCTCCTTCTCTAATCAGTATTCTATTTTCTTCTTTCATTTCCAGAATATCTATCTGTTAGATCTTTATTTTGCCGTGTGCTCTGCTAAGTAACGGTAACATTAGATTCAACTATTATCATTGGTATCAGAGCCACCAGATCTTGGCGATGGCTGAAGGAACGACCACTCGTCTACAGAAGGATATGGGTCAGCTGCAAAAGGAAATTGAGAAAATGGGGGCCAGTAACGAGCAGTGGATGACAGAGGTCAGAATTGAGCTTCAAGCTCAAATAGAGTAGCCCGGAGAGGAAATGCGCCAGATGTTTGAAAAGGTGATGGATAAGGTGCATAGCTTGTCCGAGGGAGGTAACCAGGGTGACTCAGTGGCGATTGCTTTAGACTCGAAGCAAAAGTCTGTCATAATTGAATCTGGAAGTATCATGGGTGAATTTCAAGGAGGTTTCTACAACAGAACCAGCTCAAATTTCCAGATTCCAAACTAAAGTACTCAAAGATTGAATGCCCTCGATTTGAAGGTGAGGATTTTAGAGGGTGGTTGCCTAAGATGGAACAGTTTTTTGAAGCTGACCAAACCAAGGAAACTGAGAAAGTCAGAACGGTGATGATGCATTTGGAGGGGAGAACTTTACAGTGGCATCAGCGTTTTATGAGGAGTCAAGGGAAGCTTCAAGAGGTGAGTTGGACTCATTATGTCACTGAGATGAGAAATAGGTTTGCTGAGTCTTAATTTTTTTATCCTATGCTTGAACTAGTTGTCTTGAAGCAAACTAACACTGTTGATCATTAGTATTTTTCTTGGTAATTTGAAACCTGAAATCTCCAAACCAGTTCGGATGTTCTACCCCAAAACATTAATCAATGCTTTCAATTTAGCCAAACAAATGGAGTCCTTGTTGTTCAATGTACCCAGAAGACCTTTTATACCTTACAAGAACCCAGTGACAACTCCACCTTTAACCAACACTGTTCCCTATTTCCCTAAATCCACCCTGCCACGACTCTTGCCTACTAACCCTCCTTTCTCACCTATAACCAACATACAAAACCAGTGACACAATTTAACACCCATAAACCTAATCTTGCCAAACCAGAATCCCCCTTGATGAAGACTACCAATGCAAAGATACCGGGTCGAGAAGAAAGAGATGAAAGGAGGAAAAAACGGCTGTGTATGTGGTGTGGTATCAAATTTACTCCAGGCCATAAGTGCGCCAAGTCTCAATTATATCAAATGCTAACTGAAGGTGGGGATGATAACCCACAAGAGGTTGAAGAATTTTCTGATTGTGTAGAGACCTTTGAGGGATCTGGAGAAGATGATACTGAAATTCAGAATAGACATGTTATTTCTTTACATGCCTTGATGGAGGCAGAAGGATACAGAACCATGAGGATCCCTTGTAATGTAAAAACCAGCAAGTAGTAATGTTGGTGGACTCTGGGAGCACTCACAACTTTGTGGACCAGTCATTGGTGAAGAAGCTGAGATGTAATGTGTCAACCATCAACGGCATTAGTGTGACAGTAGCCAATGGTGATAAACTGATGGCCAGAGATATATGTAAAGGATTGACCTGGGAGACTTGAGGATTGGTGCAGCAATCAGATTTCTTTGTTTTACCCTTGATGGGTTCTGATGCAGTCCTTGGAATACAATGGCTCTAAACTTTAGGGCCTATTCTTTGGGACTTTACCTTGCTCGCCATGCAATTTACTGTGTGTAACACTTGGTATACTATCCAAGAAGCAAGGGCCAGTCAAGTACAATTAGCTACAAGGAAGCCGGCAAGTCAGATGAAGTTGATTAATAACTCTGGGAGGTTTGATGTTGATCACAAGAATTGGTTCCTCTCAAACACATGATGAATTTTCCAGTAATGCAAACTGCTCTGAGTTACCTCAAGATCTGCAGAAGTTGTTGAACAGGTACTCTGGGGTTTTTGAGACTCCAACAGCATTACCACCTACAAGACCACAAAATACCTTTGATGGATGAATCCCAACCTGTTAAGATAAAGCCTTACAGGTATCCTATTATCCAGAAGAATGAAATTGAAAAAATGGTTGCTGAAAGGAAGGAGGCTGGAATCATTCAGGACAACAACAGTTCTTTTGCATCTCCAGTGGTGCTGGTAAAGAAAAAGGATGGTTCTTGGAGAATGTGTGTGGATTATAGACAGTTGAATAAGATTACACTTAAGGATAAATTTCCTATACCTCTTGTAAAAGAATTGTTAGATGAGTTAACAGCTGCATATTGGTTTTCTAAATTGGACTTGTGATCTGGATATCACCAGATTAGAATGAATCCTGCAGACATACATAAGACCGCATTTAGGACTCATCAAGGACACTATAAGTTCTTGGTGATGCCCTTCGGATTAACCAATGCACCATCCACCTTCCAGAGTTTGATGAATAACATTTTCCAACCTTTCCTTAGAAAGTTTGTTTTGGTATTTTTTGATAATATCATGGTTTACTTCTCTAACTGGAATGATCATCTACTACATTTGCAGCAGGTGTTTGAAGTTCTGGTCCAGAATAAGCTATATGTCAAATTGTCAAATTGTGTCTTTGGTGCTACAACCATCGAATATCTAGGACATATTATCAGTAGGGGAGAAGTTTCTATGGATAGTAAGAAAATTGAATGTATCAAAGAGTGGCCCATTCCAAAACCATTAAGAAGCTGAGAGGGTTTTTGGGATTAAAGGGGAGAAGGCATTTTCAGATTAAAATCAACCATCAAAGCCTCAAATTTTTGTTGGATCAGAAAACAAATACACCTACCTAGCAACTTTGAGTGGTGAAAATGATGGGTTTTGACGACGAGTTGGTTTATAGAAAAGGGTCTATGAATGTGGCAGCTGATGCTCTTTCCAGAAAGCCTTCAGTCCTGTTATATGCCATTTCATTTATCACCAGTGATCTTATGGACAAAATTAAATAGTCCTGTTTGCATGACTCTGCTTTGGTACACTTGCTTCATAATATAAAAAATAAGCCGAATTAGTTTCCTAAATATACTTGGGTTGCAGGTAAGCCAAGGCGAAAGGGGAAGCTTATGGTAGGAGCTAACAGTAACATTTCCACAGCTCTGTTGACGGAGGTCATTCAGGAGTTGAAGCAACCATGAGGAGAATAGCTAGTGTGGTATACTGGAAAGGAATGAAGAAAGCAGTGAGGCAGTTTGTCAGGGAATGTTCAACCCGTCAATAGTGTAAATATGATACTGCTGCATATTCAGGGTTACTACAGCCACTAGCCATTCCAAACAAGATATGGACTGATGTTTCCATGGATTTTATAGAAGGTCTTCCCAGATCGTTTGACAAAGATGTGATTATGGTGGATGTGGATAGATTGAGTAAGTATACTCATTTCAAAACATTATTTCATCCATTCTCTGCTGTTACAGTTGCTCAACTCTATCTAGACAATGTGTATAAGTTGCATGGAGTACCTGAAACTGTTGTTTCAGATCGAGATGAAAGATTCACTAGCTTGTTTTGGAAAGAGCTATTTAAGTTGATGGGGACTGATTTGAAGTTATCAACTGCTTACCATCCACAAACAGATGGTCAATCTGAGGTGGTTAATAGGTGTTTAGAAACCTATTTACAATGTATGACAGGTGAAAATCCTAAAGTCTAGTCGAAATGGGTTCCATTGGCCGAGTGGTGGTATAATACTAGTCACCACACTTCCATCCAGACAACACCTTATGAAATAGTTTATGATCAGCCTGCTCCATTTACCAGGAGATTCTAAGCTGGAAACAATGGACAGGAGTCTTCAAGCAAGGGAGGCTACAATTAAACTTCTTAAGTTTCATTTAGACAGGGCAAGGAACCGAATAAAGCAACAAACTGACAAGCATAGGTCTGACAGGCAGCTATAGATTAATGATTTGGTTTATGTTAAACTTCAACCTTTCCGGCAAAAATCAGTTCGCAACAGACCTTGCTCAAAATTGGCTTCTAAGTACTTTGGACCCTATAAGATACTGGAGAAGATAGGGGTAGTGGCTAACAGACTGGAGTTGCCAAAGGAAGCAAAAAAACATCTTGTGTTTCATGTCTCACAGCTGAAGGAACACATTGGCGAAGCAGTGACACAGTACACTTTTCCACTACTTGATGCAGAAGGAGTGTTGGCAAGGAAGCCCATAGCTATTTTAGACAGGAGAATGATCAAGAAACGAGGCAAGGCAGTTACAGGGGTTTTGGTGCGGTGGAGTAACTGTTTTCCAGAGGATGCCACATGGGAAAACTTATACGATCTGCAACATATGCTTCCTTCATTCAATCCTTGAGGACAACGATTTTCTAGGGGAGGGTAATTGACATGAGCTAAAGTAGACCTGGTGACAATTTATGTTTTTACTTAGCCCATTTAACATTTTGCAGCCCATTTAGCATTCAGCCCAGTTGATTAAATGTTTGTTTTCTAGAAAAAACCAAATTCTGTTATTTTGTTACAGCGGTGTTAACGTCTAGCTTGTTTATGGTGTAAAAAAGGTCATACAGGAAAAAAGGACAGAAAGGAATCATTGACAAACTTCCTAAATTCTCTGTCTTCTCTCTTCTTCTCTATTCAGTATTCTATTCTCTTCTTTCATTTCCAGAATATCTATCTATTGGATCTTTATTTGCCTTGTGCTCTGCTAAGTAACGGTAACATTAGATTCAACTACTATAAACTTAAACCTAAAACAGAACATAATCAGTCACCAAATGATGATTATAACTCATTTTTTTCTCAGCATCTTCCTCTGCTGCTTTTCGTTCCTTAGAAGCCTTTGCAGAACCTAAAAAATTAAAGCCGTTAATAGGTGGAAGGAAAGGAAACAAACTAATAATCAAAAACAAAAAAAAAAAAAAGAAAGGAGATGAGAGGAACCGTGAAGAGAATCAGAGGTGAAGGAAATGATTTTGCGGAGTTTAGAAGGTAAAGCCTCGACTTGAGAGGGATCAGGAGGCAGCGGGAGTCTGGCCGGACCGCAATGAGCAGCTCTATAATTCTTCTCTCTACTCCTCCTTCCTTTGCCTTCCATGATTTATATCTAAAACTGATGCAACCCTACTTCTCGCCGCTGTGGCTTTCGGTGATTCTCTCTTTGCAGACTGGTTCTCGACGCGCTAATTACGTCGTGACAGCGAGACGGACGGCAACCCATCAAAATTATTAAACCCAAAATCGCCCACCATCGTCCAGAGTCCACACCCTTTATTTTTAAGGGCCAGAATTAAGCTGAGTTATTTTAATCTAACTTATAAATTGTGCTACTAATTTTTTTTTTTTTTGGTTAAACAATATTTTTTTTTTCTGGAAAAGTGTTTGCTGTTAGGAAAAATTAATATTTTTTTCTTTTTCTATAAGAGAGAATAATCTTATAAAGATATATTAATATTTTAGAATTAAAAAGGGATATAAAGAAATTTTAATTAATATATATGGATAGTTAATTAAATAATAAGAATTTAAAACAACATTAACTAAACATTTTCAAATGTTTTTCATTAAAAAATTCTATTACTATATGATTCAAAGAATTGGATTAGGGTTTAAAACAAAAGGGAAAGGAGCGGGGAAGAAAGAGCCAATGTGCTCAGTCCAATTGATACACAAAAAATACAGAATAAAACAGCTGTCCTATTTTCATTCTCTACTTTATAAAAACAAATTAATGAACAAAAATGAAGATCTCAAGCCTCGGAGAAGCTCATCAATCTCAATGGTAAGGAACTTACCACTAATCAAATAAAAGAATCTGCCTAACGACCCTCCTGTTAATCACATCATAGGGTTGTTTCACTAGTGAACTACCTACACATTTTACATACACGAAGGCAGCTGGCGCCGTAAAGTCATGTTATTGACTTGATTTCTTCTTGCTCAAGGGGCAGACGCCATGCGCTCATAACATCGGTCCTGGTGGTGGCATCAATTGTGCATCTTCTATACTCATTCATCAACCAATCAAAATTCTAAGGCTGAACTGAAGACTACGACTTTATAAGAGGGCTGAGCCCTTCACCTTCCCAACCCAGCTAAGCATCCGATCCACCACTTTCAAGCTCAACTATATATACCACCAAGGCCACAATAAGAATGAGTTCAATATCCAATAAAACAGCATCGATTCAAGTACTTTTAATTCAACAATTTTGGCTTAAAATTAGCACTTTAAAAACATTTTCAGAATTTTTGATATCCTTAGGTCGGATTGTTCTTCAAGTGTTCATTGTATCTTATAAATTTGAGGAAGTCTAAAGGGGGACAGGGATTTGAAGTTCTAAACCTTAGACCTCAACATTCTTAAAGAAGGGGTGACAATCACTAGAACAAGCTCGGATTGTTATAGCATTTACTTAAATAATTGGTAAAATTTATTTTATAATTGATTAAAATGTAAACAAATGGATGAATAGTTGTAGAATTTATTTAAAATGTGGTAAAAGTAAATAAGGCTATTTTATTTAACATGAATAGTTGTAGCTTCAACTTATTTTATTTTTTTTCTAAGTTTTAAACTTCTAGTTCGAAAAATAGATAGCCTTAATGGTAATCTTTCTTTATCCCCCCCCCCCCCCCCAACACACACACACACACACACACACACACACAAAAACACTCCATTAATGCTTGTTACTCAAACATTAATTTATAGAAAATCAAATAACTAATATTTAGAGTAATGATTGATGAGGAACCAAGAAATGGAGAAAAGAAAATAGTCTAACTTACGGCTGGGTCTTGTGAAAATTATCAACTGCTTATCTGCAGTTGACACTAGAAGATTTGTGTTATCCTTGTTCAAAGAAAGAGCTGTAATATCTTGTCCTTCTCCCAGTTTCAACACATGGAACACCTGCAAATGAAAGGTTTCTTCCAGGTCACACTGTTTGAGCAAAATGACACATATTCATGATGCATGTGTGTCTAACATGCCTCTTGCATATTAATCTCCCACCCCAGAGACACAGAAAAGAAGAAATTCAAAGAGTCCAGAACAACCCACCCCCACCCCAAAGACATAGGAAAGACTTAATCTCCCCAAGGCATCTTTGCACAGGTGGTACCTAAGAACAACATTAATGTTAGTTTGAAGCCACAAATATGGCCGCATTCATTATCTACAGGAGGTGAAGATAAGGCATAATAGCATCTGTTTAAACATTTTCTTATACCTTGAGAGTATGCAGATCCAAAAAACAAACTGAAGGTGATGGAATATCCAATCTGTTGCTTTCGTTGATTTCTTCTGACTCAAGATCCAAACCATCAACCACAGGTTTCTTCAAACTCAAGTCGTGGTTGTTATTGCACACTCGAGTGTTGCCCAAAGATGAGTTCATTCCAATTAAAGCACTCGTACCATCCACAGAAATTTCCATGCAACTGACACAACCCAAGAAAGGAAGTTGTGCTCTTGCAACCAGAATCCCATTGAGAGTGAATGTGCTGAGAGTATTTTGCAATTGGTTCCAGGTTAAAATGATTCCCTCAGATGAAAGGCAGACAGCATCAGCTTCCACACCAGCAAACCGTCTCAGCAAGCGACCCCTTCTTACAGAATGCAACAGAACATCTGATGAACAGCCACATGAAACAACAATACCTAGATCCGAACTGACACAGCAACAAAGAATTTCCCTGTGGTGACCTCGAAGGACATGTATGGGACCTTCAATCCGATGCTTCCTGCTTTTGTCTGCTAAGGTGTGAGCTAAAGTACCACTACTAGCTGAGGTTGGCATGGCAGTGCCAGCATTAGGTTCTGATGTGCTGCTTGAGCGGGATGTAAATGCCCTATGTATCCTCCAAAGTAATACAGTAGTGTCCCGGGATCCTGTCACGAGATAGTTGCTATCCGGTGATAGAGCAAGGCAAGTGACAGGAGCACAGTGTCCAAAAGCCATTTCTAGTGTTTTTGCTCCATCAGATGACAAAAGCTTGATACTGTTGTCCATGTGTCCACCTAGTTAAAATCCAGAAAGTATATGAGATACTAAATACCATGAGAAATGCAGATATTAATGCTGGCTGTTGGATTCAAAAGCACATGACCCTTATCAACGACACTTAACATTGTGGTTCAAAATTAAAAGTCCCTGGAAGCTACAAATTTTATAAACAATGGGTCAAGCAGCCAAGCAAAATTGAAAATTATAGTGAGGTGGGGAGAGCAACGATGGCAACTTCAAGAAGAAGGGTATTGAAAGTAATTAAATCAGTAATATATCTTTAAATTATTCAACCTTAAACCCTAAACCCTTTAAATATATTTCATCAGACCATGCCTCTGAACTAGAGATTAATAAATCGATTCAGAAGTAATTGATATTTTTTTTAACCAATTCTTCACCTGAATTATTTACATATGAACAGCAGCAGCTGATCTTGTAAAGGTTCACAAGATTAGACTGAAACTGTTATCACCATCATAAAACATTGTTGCACTGCAGCATTCCACTGTTATGAAATTGAGAAATTAGATTTAATGTTTATGAAAAGTCAGGATAATTTTAGACATACTAGCCATCCAACCTTTTTCATTTAGCTAAGCCATCAATACCATAATTTCCCTCATTTACCTAGGAATGGACCAATATTTGTTAGAGACAACTATAAGCACATTTTTAACCATAATCCTAGTTCACTGGGTTGACCAGAAAAAGTTCAATTCAAGCATATAAGGTATCCTTCAGAGTTCAGACACTGATGCATTTATGAAGCATCCTTTCCAGATAATAACTACAAGGAATAAAGGAAGGAATCTAATGTGATAAAGAATTAGCAAAACAGAACTTGAGTTTCTCGACAATTACCTGAAAGGAGGATTACTTTTTTTCTGATTCAGGGTTCGTAATTAAGAAAGTAAGAAGTTAATCAGATAAATCAAATTTAACTAAAATTAAAGTTGGCAAACTAATATTAGGAATCAATAGGTTACCTGTAATAATTTCTTTATCACATGTGATGGAAACAATAGATGAGCTTCTGATCCCAGATGAAGCAAATGCCTGCGCCTGGGGAAACAGCCATTCATCAGAACCTAAGCCCCCTGGCCCTTTGAGCATTCTTATGAGTGCTCCACCAGCAGAGCTTGCTGTTGCCTTTCCATGTTGAAACAGAAATGGTATTCCCTGACCATCGGGAGTGTTTGGCTGCCAATTGTGCTGTGCAATATGAGCTGCTGGTGCATTTGTGTCAATGATTATGACAGCATCTGAAGATGCATGAATAGCAGCTGCAGGCAAATTGCAGCGTTCAGGGCCTGGGACAGCATATGGTTTGACTTCTCTTGGGTTCTGAAAGATTGTCTGACATTAAATGTTAATCAGAATCAGTTTTAACATATTCATGTTCTCAGAAAAGATTGCCATTACAGAAAGGACTTTATTCAGATCACATGAGAAGTAATTGCAGATAAAGTTATACATAACACTGCATCAATGCTAAAAACAGAAAGGCTGAACTGAAAATGGAATTGCTACCTGCAAATGAAGAACCTCTGAAAGTGGCATCTTCTTCATGTGAGGGACAGTAAGAAGTTGGGATGGAGTTTGTCCAAAATAAGCAATCTGGTCTTGTGTGGCATGCCGTTGTACCTTTTATTTATATACATGTGTAAGGCAATGAGGAAGAATATCCAAATAGAGCAGACATAGAAAAAAAAATAGCAAATTAAACTTACTGGATCAGAGATCTTATTAATATCAACTGTCCCTTCATATGTAATGTAAAAGAACATGTTATTTGCCAATATAGCTTCTTTGCCTCGTTGCTTATACCTGAACATTCCAATTCACTAATGTAAATTCTGGAAAACTCAAGGTTGCTTAAAAGAAGAATATCCATGAACAATTATCATTAAAAAGAATATCATTGTGAAGAATACAACGGAAAAGGAAATCCACAGTCTTTCTTTAGGAAGGGGGAGAAAGTAAAAGAAAACATACCCAAATATGAGGTCAATCCATTCATGCAAATGTGCAGACACATGCTCACTCTCAAGAGCCATTCGATGTTTATGAATGAAATCAGTTGGGTTTTGAGCCCATGGTGGAAGTTTGACAGAATCTGTATGTTGAAAAGAAAAAAAAATCAGAACCCAGTGCAACTGGCATTTATTTCTCTTCAGATGATGAAAAGAGGATACTCAGGTACATACCAAGCTTTCCTCCTAATTGTGTTGTTCCAAAGTCAATTGAATTTTCATTGGTTAACATCTCAGGAAGGTAAAACAGCTCAGGAACCTAACTTAAATAAAATAAAAACAGATTAAATAAAAAATTTCTGATAATCTATTGAAGTACAAATGCAAGATAAATGCAGCAAAA